AGTCACGAGTCGTTTAAAGCCGCTCGTCAACATGCTCGTTTGGCCAGACATAAGCCGTCAAAATAGACGGTTTTATGCAAACTATTTTCCTGAAATGGCCTTTGACGCATTAACTTTTGCCACTGATCTCAGTATCGTGTTTTTTAATGAAAACTTGTCGAATTAATAGAAATCATCTTTCGAAGGTGAGCTTGAAAAGTATGCCACATGTGAAGACAGTTACAGAAGACGGTCGTTACGCATTCTTAGTCGATCCACTCATTCGATCTAGCAAAACGTCAATCCAAGGCGTCAATCGGTATCGTTGAGATGAATGAAGACCTCAGGTGTTTTCATTGCTTTTAACACGATTCTATCAATAGGTATTCATTTATGGACGAAACGCTGTGAATCGCTCATGATATCGCATGACCTAAGACCAAAGGTTCAATTTGGAGTTCATGAATATATGCCACTCCTATTCAAGTTTTCAAGTTGGTCGACCCGTTTCGAGCGTACCTTGCCGTTTTTTATGTTTGGCCCAGGAGCTGAATTGGAAAGTGCTTGTCAACCCTCCCCCTCTCCTCCTCGACGAGCTACGATTAAACCATTACCACGATGCAGATTAAGCGAGTGCACATCACCTTCATCTCATGCCAACGATTTTACGCATCAATATCACGCTGGTAGTCTGAGTCTGCATTTCAATGGATTTTTCCATTATGATAATAAATAATGGTGATTATGAAGCATTAGAACCATAAGAATGGTCAAGAAAGACACGTAAGAGGCAATTTCAATCAATATCCATAGGTATTGTTGAGAAGAAGACAAATGACGGAGTGGAAAGATTGTTCATACGTGTCAGTATTGTTACGTCTATTGCCTACATTACGTCTATATCCGGCTGTCAGTAAGTCGAAGATTACTTGAGTGTTAGTCACGTTCCGGAATCAAATGCTGGAATCATTTGTCGAAAGGTGTTTTTTAGCTTTATTTAATCAAAGTTGTACAATTTTTTCTTTGTCCTATGTTTCTTTTTTGTTTGGTTTATTGCAGATTCTTCTGAAGCTCGAAAAGTATTTTTTGCAAGTAATGAAACATATTGACCTTATATCATTCAGTTTCCAATGAAGCAATTCTAAAAATCTCATGAATCGCTCGAGTGTGTAACCCTTTTCAAAATGTACCATGTAAAAGCAGTTTTACTTGCGGTGTTTGCAGTCGCGCAGGTGAATGGAATGGTAAAATGGCACACCCTATCAGACCGTCTGCACCTGAAAAAAATTGCGGAACCATCTTACAGCCCCACGGAGAAAATTATGATTAACCAGTTGTGGGTTTATAATGATATTGCCAAGAGTGAACCAGGCAAGTATCCTAAGCTACTTGAGGTTGATATAGATTTAACAAACGAACAGATGAAAAGATATACCGTTTATGGCTTTTACTTTGATAACACAAGCCCTGCTATTGTCGACTTATGGAAAGGCGGCGTGATTCCATACCGTTTTTCGAGAACTGAGACGGTTAATGATAGATCACCATTTATTGAAGCTATGAATGGTTGGACTGCTCGCGTTCCGTGTATCAAGTTCGTCGAAGATAAGACAAGTAGTGATGACAAGGTGTTACATATTGTTCAGCGAAAACTGTCCTTTGCTTCTCTTGGATACAGACCTGAAAGAAAGAAGCATATTCTGTCCGTGGCCGACGTGGCTCAAACTAAGCCTGTGATCATGCACTTGCTGGGCCATGTTTTGGGACTTGCACATAGTCATTCTAGGCCTGATAGAGACAGATTCCTTCTGTGGATGCGCGAAAACGTCGACATAAGAGACGTTTTATATCTCAACACCCAACAAGATTGTCCTTATGACTTGGGATCGCTGATGCACTATGATCAGTACGCCTTCACAATGGACAGAACCGAGGAAATGTCGTTTATGGTGAAGGAACAATCTTGGAGCGACAACCCGGTAGTGCAGAGCGCTATAGCTCCCAAGGAATACGACACATACGCGCTCAATTACGTAGTCGGCAGGTGGGATGCGCCCTCCCTCACTGACAAATATCGCGTGGAGTCGGCGTATCGGAACGAGGCAGGATGCACTCCAACCAGCACCGACTGCATCCCAATGGTGTTCGGCTACGAAGACGTCAAGGTTCTCCCCGCGCAGTTCCTCATTGAGCCGAAGACGGCGTTCGGCAATCGCCTGCTGTTTGACACGGAGAATCCCGAGGACAACGCCTTCACCATCAACCTAGACACCCTGCCGACCAACCAGTACAGTCACGACATCATCACCACGGGCTCTCTGGACAAAATATCGGACGACCCGTGCGCCCGCACGCTCTGGATCATCCAGCCGGCTCAGGAGCCGACCATCGGTCAGCTGGGCTTTATGCTTCTCACCGGCTGCTCCTTTATGAAGTTTGAGTTTTACGATTATCTGTGGGACCATCACGAGCTATTCTGCGCGGCGCAGTTCGCCAGGCTGTATCGTAAGGCGATATTCACCTCCAGTAGCACTATCATGCACCTGCGTGTGCATAAGATTGATCACAAGGAGGTCAACTCACTGGTGAATGGCGTGATTAAGGTGCACAGCTACCAGGACTGGATCTGCTCCGGTAACGCTGTGAATTTGAAATGCTCCGGTCTGCCCGACCCGAAGCTAGTGGCTTATTTCTTGCCATAATCTGAGTTATTGTAAAACATTTTAGCATTTTCTGGCCATATAATTTATCGAAAAAAAAAACATTGCGTGCAATAAATAATTCGAGGTTTTTGTTGGTGAGCGTTTTTTCTCTTTTTAGAAACGCCGAATACCTACCTAAGTATTGCATACTGATAACTTGCCATTAATTTATATGCGCATTAGGGTGAATAGGTCAAAAACGCCCCCCTTAAGCGCGAAACCTTCTGACACTCAACCCAACACAGATTACTTAAACCTTTGGGCACCATCATGTAGCTCATTCTTTTTACTACGCTTTTAGACCAAGAAAAGACACCTGCGTGTGGTATTTAGCCCCCCAAAAAGGTTTTCGCATACCCTTACAAAAGGGCGTTTTGCCCCATACCCTGGGTAATACGCCCACACCCATGTGCAAAGCGCCCCCACCCCCATCCATCAACAGAAAATGATGAACATGGCAGAACTTGACGTCATTCTGGCGTCATTTGTGGTCAACCTATAAGCCTATATATATAGCCTATATATATATATATATATATATATATATATATATATATATATATATATATATATATATATATAAGCCTATATATATATATATATATATATATATATATATATATATATATATATATATATATATATATATATATATATATATATATATATATATATATATATATATATATATATATATATATATATTATATATAAGCCTATATATATATTATATATATATAAGCCTATATATATATAGCCTATAAGCCTATATAAGCCTTTGGAATAAAATTTTGTTGCAATGTGTAAAATGGATGCCCGGAGGAGTCCTGAAAGTTTGGTGACGATATCTGCAGTCGTTTAGGATATATCAGCAAAAAAAGGACAGGGACAGGCCTTTTCGGCCCCGACCTACAGGGCGCTACCCTGCACTCTCACCACCGTGCAAAACGCCCCCTTTCAGAAAACTGGGGGCGTCCTGCCCCATGCATCGAGTAGGCGTTTTGCCCCATCCACTCCATTTCCGGTCAACAAAATATTGACAAAAAACGCGCCACTAACGCCGCAGCATAATACATTCACCAGAATGACAATAAAGCGCAGTTTTGAGTGATGTGCACAATAGCAAGTTTTGTGATATAAAGAGGGCATCAAAATCTTAGGAATCTTCTGTAAAAACAACAAAAACAACACCCAAAACCAACATCAGCACCTACCCACGCTGCTCCTCAAGACGCAGAACCGGAAATAGAGTCCTACGTAAACAAGCAGCTGACTGTTCTGAAAGACAGGATAAAACACCTATCCGTCGATAAGATCTACGATTTTTTAGGGGAGGCGTTTAACCCTGGGGTGCGTTTTCCCCACAATTACCCTAACTATATGCATACCTATATCTAACACCACTTCCCAAGTTCTTAGGCATTGCAAAATCAGAGTATTTCCGTATGATCACACAGCACAATAACAATCGCTAAAGCGACTCAAGTATGGCCTTGGTGATGTTAGCGCCGTAAAGATAGCTTGATTAGGAATTGTACATATGAATGCCAAGCACATGTAGGAAGCCCCCACATTGCTAAGGAAAAAAAAATCACTTCCGTTTCGTACACATTTATATATTTTCGTTCTTTTTTTAATAGTTATTTTCAGCTCATTGCCTCTGTCGATGTTTGAGGAACCGTTAGATGGAGTGAGTTGATATCGCGCAGAATAAGCATCTAACAACTCGACAACAAACAACAAACACTTGAGCTGAAACAGATTTTGCTTGAAACGAAACAACATCGTGTTTGGCCTCGCGTCGGCACCGGGGGATGAAAGGAAAGATACAAAGAACTAGAAGGAGTGCTGAAAGAGGGAAAGGTAAAGGTGAGAGAGTGAGAAGAGAGAGAGAGAGAGAGAGAGAGAGAGAGAGAGAGAGAGAGAGAGAGAGAGAGAGAGAGAGAGAGAGAGAGAGAGAGAGAAAGAGAGCGAGAGAGAGGCCTCAGCTCCGCTCAGCTTGTCCCGATGTGGAAGAGGAGATGAGCGCTGTTCAGTCATCCATGGCAATAAAACCGTTAAGAATTATAACGAGCTTAAATTTTTTCGTCGCCATTCGGAACTACATACTTTGCCAGTAGATACCCGCCTAGGAATTTAGATAAAATCAATACACCAACGTCGCTGCTCCCCGAATTCCATGCCTGGCGCCGCCTCTACCAGCTACACATGTCTGCCGCTCCCCTCCCGGCCCGGCTCACCTGACGCCGCCCCTGCCGCCCCGACCTGCCCCCGGGCGGTGGCCGGTCGGCCGGAGCGAGGCTGGTCCGCCGCGCGCGCGAGCTTTCGCTACCAGCGACCGGTGCGTGCGGGCGGCTCCCGGCGCGGTGGCTGATTCTGGAAGGATTTTGAGGTGAGCATGCCATTTTTATCGATTAGGGGTGCTACTTGTTGCTTTGGTGCTACTTGTTGTCCCATTTTACCTAGTAATATTATATTACTTCAATAAGTTTATACGGCACCCTTGTCCCTGACCCAAAACATGGTTCAAGTTCGAAGCCATCGTTCCACGGTATGTGCCGCTGATTTCTTATGTCGTTTTTTAACACCTTTTTCAATGCCTGCGTTGCTATTTCTAGCCGATCGTCTGCAGAGTTGTGCCGCTGCCTGTCTGTCGGCTGCAGGGCTGCCGGAGAGGGGCCGGTCCTCGCTACCAATCCAATGTCCGACCGACCTATCGCTGGACACTCTGGACGGTAAGTTTCTTTAGGACGGCGCGGCGGTGTAATCGCCATTGTGTTATGAAACTTAAGTGTACAAATTAGCAACTTAGTATGATAGATGCGAGGAAGCGACAAATTTTAATCATATTTACGATAAATTGCAATGTTTTTTAATATTCTTTGCATCTGTCATTATAGTGTTTTTCATCTCATTTGTTATGCGGAAGAGCGTTTATTTTACTGTAGTGTATTCATAACATCGTGTCATTTCACCCACAGACCACAGCTCATGTGCGGCAGTACGAGCGCCGCCGTTGGCACCGAGATAAAAGTCCATCTGCCGGTCAAAACTGAACTGCGGCCAACGGAAACTCCAGTTCTCTCACAGGTACGGCATACGTCTGCAATTATGAGTGAATGAAATGAAATGAATTACAACATCTTTAGGGGCGTCATATGACAATAGCAGTTGATGCTCCCTAAATCGGTAATTAACTAGTGATAACGATTCATATTATTACGATTAGCATTAGGTCTTGTCCGTTTATTAATGATAGTCTTTGCAGAATTTCATGAACTGATTCCACTGTTGTTTTTATTACATGTAAGGACGCCTGGGAGTTCGCGAGTTGGGGACACTACTCCAGCATACCGACCGACCGATGGACGTCACTTCAAGGGATCACGTCACAAACTTGACCCGGTATGTATATCAGGGTATACTCGTGATCCTATTTTCATTTTCATATAGCGTCTAAGTATATTGGTTTAGCTTGGTTTAACTAAATAACTTGGTCTAGCTAATCCACTTTTACTGATCCGGATCACAAGTGCCATGTAAGTCGCGTCACTGAGTTTGCTACACGATTACTAAAGACAGTGAGGAATGTGTACTGATGAAAAACGAGCCAGATACGAAACGTGAAAAGAACTGCCGTGGCAATGAGTGGCTAGTTTGTGATGGTAGCTGGAGTGACGTGCCTCCCCTCGTTCCGTTTCAGTGTTTGGCGGCAGTGTCTGGTCGGTGTCGGGGCGGTCTCCCGGTGCTGAGTCCCGGCCGTCGGCTGCATTGTTGACCCAAGATGCCGGTCCGTGGTCCGAAATCCGGCCACCTCGGACCTGACGCCGTACAGACTCCGAACGGTAAGAGCGTGTCATAGAGCGGCATTTTTATCGCAGTCTTCATTTGGGCCCATATGAAGCAGTCACTGGTTAGGAAGGTGAAAAAGAAACCCTTATTTGGCTCTTTTCCAGTCACTTCTGTACCAGAGTTACAGTAGTCTAAAACAAAATTGATTATGTTGCTTTTTCAATTTACGGGGACAAGGGACATCAGTTAACCCACAATCGTAGGGGACGGGCAAAGCGGCCCCTCTCCTTTTCCATCTATATCTCCTGAAGTGTTGCAGATATCGTCACCAAGCTTTCCAGGCCCCTCTGGACATCAATTTTACAGATTATTGAGAAAAAAACATAAGGCTATGATAGGTTACCCACAAATGACGCCAGAGTGGCGTCATGTTCTGCCCTTTTTGGTCCAAAATAGGTTTTACGGGAAGAGCTGTCACGCCTACAATTTTGAAGATAGAGGAAAATATTTGAAACAAATCAGTTGTAGATTAATGCCATGATGTTAGTAACAAAAAAAAAGAACACACGTTTTCATAAATATTGTTTGAAAAAATAGGCTGACGATTTGCTCATCTAAGACTTAGCTCCCGTTTATTTGGCAAATACCGCATTACGTAGGGCTGCACCAAAGTTTATTAAAAAGTGTAATAAATAACATGCATTATTTCGGTATTTATCATTTGTCTATTAGGTACTCTATCTGGTAGCACATTTCATTTTTCTCTGATCCATCCATCAATTGCGTCGTCATAATTATCAATCGCTGGATGTGGAAAAGGTTTCGGAGTGCCGACCCATGTTCTGTGTTTTACCGGCCGCGGGGGGCTGTGCGTCGTGCGGCGCAGCATAACTTCAGGCGTCATACACTAGCGACATCTGTAAGCAGGATTCTTACATTGCGGCGCAGTATACCTTCAGGCGCCGTACACTAGCGACACCTATGAGCAGGTATCAAACCATGCGGCGCAGCATGAATTCAGGCGCTGTACACTAGCGACATCTATGGGCCGGATCATAACGATGCGGCGCAGTATACCCTTAGGCGCTGTACACTAGCGACATCTATGGGCCGGATCATAACGATGCGGCGCAGTATACCTTAAGGCGCTGTACACTAGCGACATCTATGGGCACGATTGTAACGATGTGGCGCAGTGTCCGCTTTTACTGCTTCTATGCCTCTTGTTCAGTCATCAGATTGTCTGCCACACTTTTCTGAACAATGTGAGATAAATTTGAAATCATGTGAAAATGATTTCAAACTCAAATGCAAAAAGCGGACAGGCTGTAATGCATGCATCATGCATGTAGAGTTCGCCGCAAATTCTGAATTGTAGCGTGAAAAAATCGGTAGGGAACATCTTTTTCTCTATCCCTCTCTTAACATTGACTGATCAAGTAAATAGCCTGCTTTAAAGGGACCCTCCCACCTTAACATTAGATTTGAGTTGAGATAGCCAAAATGGGGTCCCTGGCTCACAATTACCGGTTTCGGGACTCACAACATCGATAAATGCCTTAAATCGGAAATATTGAATTTCAAAATTGCAGCATTTTGATTCAGAGGGGCTAATGCTTAGGAATACCCCTCTGAATGTGTGACGTCAGCGCAGATATCTAACGATTTTTAAATGTTTGACTAAAACGTTTTGTAGCACGCTGTGGTATATGCTATACGCGCAACATCTGCCGCAAACGCCGCACTTCTAAAATAAAGTCGCTAGAAACAACGGAGATCCCAAAAAAAGTAAACAAAAGTAAAAGTCTAATATCTTGAAAGCCGGTGAATATTTTTCGGTGAAATTTGGTAGATATTCGTTTTCGCTGTTTCTGAACCGAGCGACATCACTTTCATGCCAATTCATAAACTTTTTTGAAGGTGGGAGGGTCCCTTTAAGACAAAACACCTTTTTGTCGAGTTGGTTCTTAACCCGCGCCCTGCTGGGGGGGGGGGGGGTGGGGTGTTTGAACACCCCCCTTGTGGTTTTTCGCGAATATCTCAAAAAACGGCGGCGCGGAGCGCCGCCGTTTTAGGTACACCTTATCATACATCAATTCTTCACATGTTGTGAAAATTTCAGACCAAGGTCATTCAAGGTCAGGTCACCAGGTCACTTGAAGTGACCTCACCTCATAAAAAGTTTCAATGTCTGTCATAGCTACACCGAGTGACCGAACGCTTTGAAACATTCAGCGATTGCTAAGAGCAATAGCATGTACAAAATGTATATCTTAGAATTTTGATATCGATGACCTAAGGTCAGGTCAATTTTGCGACCTCCCCATTATAAGTCAATGGGAGAAAATTGAAATGCGCCTCTTTTGGACGAAAGACATTATAAACACTCCCAAACACCGAACTACAAGTGGTTTAGACACACTGAACATGAAAATGGTGTCCGTGACCCTTGTTTATGCCCTGAGGTCATCTTAGGTCACGAATGGTATCTAACAGTTTTTCGCAAATAACCTTTGGTAGAGGCATGCTAAAGCGATGAAAACGCCTTAGATGTGTTCAGCTAGACGATACGGATCGACTGATATGCAACATGACCCTTTCCGGTCAGGTCATGACCTTGACCTGAGGTCAAATTTTCAAGTTGACCTTTCAAGGTCAAGTTATAGTTCATTCGATGCGTCTTGACGAGAGGAACACGATGCCGGTAAAAGTAAGCTCGTACAAGGCTTGGGTCAAAAGTTATTGGAGAAAAACTGTTTCCGAAAAAATCGGCTATTTTTGCAGTTTTTGCCCCCTGCAGGCAAAACCGTTGACGTTAGGTCAAATCTGAGAGAATTACTCAGAAAGGGCGTTAATAGGGCTATCGAATGCGCTTTTCCGAGGCGCTGTAGCTCTATTGGTTCCCGAGTTATGCGTTGGCTTCTTGGAAATTTTCGACATTCGACCTGGAAATCGGCGAAATTTTGCCTTCAATGGCCTCTGGTGACCTGACCTTTGACCTGACCAAAAAATTGACCGAAGTGATTTCGTCATTATTTTTGACGCTCTTTCGAACGCCGCCTTCCGCGTATCGCTACGTGGCCCAGGAGCCGAGTTACAAGGGGGGGGGGTTCAAACACCCCCCCCCCCCCCCAGCAGGGCGTGGAAATCCAGGACCCCCAGCCGGGCGCGGGTTAAAAGCTTCTTTTGCATGGACCAGCTTCATTTTGATGAGCAGGTAAATGGTTTTCGCTAAAATTTTCCCAATTTCAAAAGTAAACTTTACGAATCGGCTGCTATGTCGCTTTGAGATGCATTCATACTCGATTGCGTGTTTACAATCTAAACACATTAACAGTGTTGTTGACGCCGCGGCATCTCTCTCCGACAGGTGCGGCAGTGCAGGAGGGAGTGTGGCGCCGGTATACAGCTGACACCAGACATCCGTCCATCGGCCTCGTACCTGGTCAAAGGTAAGTTTATCTGCAAAACTAATGAAAGATAAAAGTAGTTCTGTGGTGTAAAATTTATGGAAATATAACGTTAACTTTTATTTATTTTGACCTTAATTTTGGCTTTCAGATTACATCCGTTCATACTCTGGAAGTCTCATTAATTCGTGTTCTCAATTGTTGTTATTACTGTTTCTATCCATGCTTTTCTTCATTCATTAATTCCTTCGTACTGGCTGTTTCAGGTTCACCTCACCAGAGCGATAGACGTCGGCCCTGCTCCAACACACCACCGGGACCCATCACAGGTTTCGGCTTACCAGGTGGGTCGGTGCGCCGAAGGGGCAGTGTAGCTGTTGTGACATTAATGCATGACTTCCGCACACTGGTTCCTCATGCGAGTCTGCGGGTTTGCGAGTTTTCAGCCCCTGAGAGTTTTCAAAATTCAAACAGCCCTTTGTACGTGTTTCGACACACAGAACCACCAATCCGCGAGAATGTGAATTTTCCGGCGAATGACATGTTTCCGGCGAAATTTTCACCTCTAAATGTTGCAAGCGTTCTCTAATAGACGTCTATCGATCCGAGTTCTAATAAATGTTTCATTATATACGAAAACCGGGCCAATTTCCTACTCAGCTACAGCCAGAGTACACCAATTTTCTTTATCATTGGAAACATTTGACATGTTTCCAATCAAGTCTGATGGAACACCGACAACGACCAGAGTATGTTGGCAACAACTAACAATTGTCCAAAAGATGTGTATCATGTACGTGCAAAAAGTACAGGATTATCCATTTCAAGTCGCATTAAGCAAATGATAAGCGTAATACAAGAGTAGGTACTAAAAGAAAAGACTAATAGCAATAGTAAATACAGCCTCTATTTGCAAGGCATCATCTATTCGGGCAGTGTGTTGTGCTTACGCATGTTAGCTAGTCAACGAAGATGAGAAATTGCAGACAATCAATAAATTGCATTACCATGCAAAATATTCAAAGTTCTCCATCATCGCATCTCGCGCTTGTAGTTGCAACGAACAACTTTCAGAAACTCGCAGTCCGCAGACTATTCACTCGCAGACTCGCGTCTACATGAGAGGTCCAGCGTAGGATAGTCGTAATTGTATGGTATAAAGTGCAACCGTTCAACCGAAAGTGACGCAATGCTGCCACGGTTTTACACATTTTTGGGTGTTTTAGAGCGTGCTCTTTATGCATCAGTTTCAAATTGTACAATATGTTCTATAGCATACACAAAATAAGAATGACCATTTAAAACAAATCTATATTATAGTATTCAAGTTTCTTAGTGCTTGAGCGAGGATCATATTAAAGAATTTTTGATTAATGACCCATAAATGACCTTATCCTCGTACCGTAAAGTGGGGCTATTTGAGACAGTGGGGCTATTTGAGACGGTATTTAAGATCGCTATAAAATGAAGATAGTTTGATTTTTGTGTGATATGTTTTGCTTTGTGTGATATGTTTGAATCGAGCATTAAATCGCATGAGCAAAAAATTAAGCATAAATTTTAGGTGGTTTTTATTTAATAGCAATTTTAAATACTGTCTCAAATAGCCCCACTGTCTCAAATAGCCCCACCTTACGGTACTTAAAAAGGTTAAATCAATACACTAGTATATTAATTATTTCGAGCACAGCTCTTCATCAGAATATAGAGTAAAAATGCCGCGATCTGGAGGGGGTATGAATAGCCCCAACCCCCCAGTGGGGCGCGGGTTAAAAACAGTCTATGGTTGTGCCGCACGTGTCGTTCTTTGTGATTCCGGGTCTCTGGCTGAGTATAAATATATACATTACATGTATTGGACTGCTTATTTCCAATAACCAAATATATATTCCTGACGTCCTTTCTTCTTCTTCCACAGGTCGTTTGCATGCGAAGGACTTCAAACAAGGAGCACCAAGAGTCGGAGAGCAGAAGAACCTCGTCCAAAGGGGGGGGGGAGGGGTAATCGGGGAAGGAGGCATGCGTGCATGCCTTCTCTCCTGATTACCCCCTCCCTACCACGTATAGGGGAGGGGGTGATTAGGGGGAGGTAGGTGAGCCTGGCCTCTCTCCTGATTATCCCCTCCCCTACCACGTGTAGGGGGGGGGGTGATCAGGGGGAGGTAGGTGAGCCTGCCCTCTCCTGATTATCCCCTCCCCTACCACGTGTAGGGGGGGGGGTGATCAGGGGGAGGAAGGTGAACCTGCCCTCCCCTGATTCTCCCTTCCCCCGCCGTGTAAAGGGGGAGGGCAGGCACACCTACACCCTCCCCCCGATTGCCCCCTACCCTATGTGTAGGGGGCAATCGGGGGGGGGGGGGGGGTAGGTAGGTGGGCCTGCTTTCTTCCCCGATTGCCCCCTCCCCAGCAATGGGGGGGGGGAGTAATCGGGGAAGGAGGCGGGCGTGCCTTCCCTCCCTGCCATGTGTGTGAAAGGGGGGGGGGTAAATCCCCTCACCTGCCGTGTATGTGGGGGGGGGGGGGGTAAGTGAACATCAGAAGAAAAATACATGCTGGACTCTCGTTGGCTGTTTATTTCTATCGCATCGCACATACATCACGCCGGTAACACATACACCCCCCCCCCCCCCCCGTTATTGGACGAGGGAGAGGGTAACAGGCGGTGCCCCCCCCGGCGAACCTGGGCCGGGGACGTGAGTGGCTAACACCCCCCCCCCCCAACAGACACGTCCCCGACCAGTGCCGCGGACGTGCGGGTTGGGTGCGGGGGGGGGGGGCGGTCAGCCAGGCGGCGACTACCATCTCTGGCAGCCACCACCTGGTGGCCGCCCCCCCCCCCAGCCCACACGTCCCCGACACGAGTGGTCCACCGGGGACCACCCTGTTCCCCTCCCCCACCCAATAAAGTGCTTGGGTGGTATGTCTGGGCTCAAACATACCACCCAAGCATGGGAGGGGGTAACCAGGAGAGAAGTCAGGTAGACCTGCCTTCCCCCGCTTACCCCCTCGGACACCATCCGCGACACCGATTACACGTGCTGCTGCGATGGTCTTCATTGCGCTGATGGTGTCTGTGGTCGCCCGACTGCAGAGGACACCGGCGCCAGCCGACAAAGACCTGCGGAAAAAGAAGGAAGAACGTCAGGGATGTGTATTCTCTGAATTGACATGTGAGAGAAGTCATGTCGGCCAAAAATACACGATAGTAAAAGATCCAAATGCAAGGGCATTTCACTCTTCGCCCTATGGGGGGGGGGGGGGCACACCTGCCAGCTTTTGTATGTAAAGAAAACCACGTCGTGAAACTCCGTATAGGTCAGGTCACCAGGGCAAGTTAACCCTCGCCCGTAAACGGTGTTTTGCCACCTTCGCCCACTACTGATAGCTTCGTAACATGGAACGAAGGCACTAGAACTACTTCGTAAATATTCAAATGGCTGCTAAAATCGAAATCAGCACCAAAAACTACCCTAGAAACAAGTAAAACTCGAAAAAGTGAACCAAGGTCATCAAAAGGTCAATGACCTTGACTTGACCTTCACGTGACCTTGACACCCACCATTATGCATGGCACCAACATCATTTCACATATTTGAACGTTTAAAACCACAAAAAGACTGGAAACCGCGGATAATGTGAGCTGGCATACGCCGAATCGCGATTCCGGCCAAACATGGTCTCGAGAAATATGCCACAGGTCAAAGGTCAGTTGGGTCAGTCATGAAATTTTTAGGTTAGATGTAAAATTGATCATCTCGAGGGTACCGAAAGTTTCGGCGCGATCGGCTGCTTTTTGCGCGAGTAATTTGCGGAAAACCATGGGGTTTTATCCGACCCCTTCCCCCTCCCCCTCCCCAAAAGTGCGATGGTTAATAAGGTTACGGTATGTATAATTTACGCTTGTCATCCTATTCCTAATGAATGTGTCTCAGAAAATATGCATCATATAAATCACGAAGTAAAATTATCCGCCTATGTCCGGAACATACCTATATCGTGCTGTTTGCCCTAGCGCTCCTCGAGTGGGGTGTTAAGATACTCTAATGTGAATATTCCGTGTTCAGGCAAGTTTCGGCAGCCAAACTAGGCGTTGTCTTGTGCAGAAGAAAGTGGCGAATTCGATAGGATATATTTCGGAGTGGAAAAGTGTGGAGAACATTGTTGATTTCCTACATTTATTTAGAATACCATTCCTTCAATATGGTGTCTGTAAGGGTTTTTTTTGTAAAGGGCATTTTTGTGACCTTAGTAAGGTTGTGGCATACTTTCTGTTTGCCATTCCATTCCTAATAAAGGTGCCTTTCAGACGATATGCAACTTTAAGGCCTCGCAAGATTAAAACCAACAGGACAGGACAATGAAATTGAGCTATACTTTCGGGCCTTGCTGAGCCCATTGAGTAATCACGCATGAGTGTGAACTTTGGGCGCATTTTTCCTAGTTTTGCTGTGGACATACAGATAAAACAATGCCATATATGAAAAATTCAGACATTTCTTAGCCCTACTGACACAAAAAATAAACAAAAATCCAAAAAATATTTTTTGAATTAATAGGCGCTAGATCGGAAAAAATCCCCACTGTGCAATGGGTCGAAAACACCCTCAGACATCGGAACGCTTGTGAATATGACACACTGAATAGGTTAATTGCACTCGTGACCAGTATGCACAATAACTTTAGATAGAAACATGATAGAGCGCTAAAAACACTGTGTGCAGCTCAACAATACGAATCTAATGATATGCAACATGACCTTTTCTGTGACCTTGACCTGAGGTCAAATCTTTAAGCAGGTCAACTTAGGTTCATTCGACGCGTCTCGACGAGACAAACGCGATGTCGGTAACATACCTAAGCGTTAATTAATACAAGCTTGGAGTCACAAGTTTTACAGAAAAACATGTTCCGTTGTCGGCAAAAATGTACAATTTAGAGAAATTCTGCCCTCTGGAGGCTACACCGTTGACCTTAGGTCAAATCTGAGAAAAATGCTCAGAAAGACCTTTAAAATAGCTATCGTCATATCAGTTGTCAAAACCGCAATAATTTTACCTTTGGTCCTTTGGTATTATTTTACCTGATCGAAAATAATAATTCTAAAAGATCTTATAGCGTGCTATCTATTGCTTTTTAGCGCGTCTTTTAGGCTTGCTTACTTTCCGAGATAATATGGTGTGGCCAAACCCCCCGCCCCCACTATGGCGAAGTAAGCCCACCCATTATACATTTGCTAAAACACATTTGCTAAATACGCATCAAACATCGGTATCGCTTATGTTGATAACAAGTGTCACTTGTCAGACATATCCGGGCGCAGCGGGCCTCGTTGCCAACAGCGGACCGGCCGACCGGCCACCGCCCGGGGGCAGGTCGGGCGGCAGGGGCGGAGCCAGGCACACGGTGGAGTGGGGTAGGGAGGGAGGGGCACCGGGTCCGAGGTCCGACCGCCGTCTCCCGCCGCCTCGGTAGCGAGGTTGGTGAACATCAGGCTTTCACCCGGCAGTCTAGGGTTCAATTCTGGTCTCCGCCCGGCAACCGGGGGCGGTCGCGCTGCGGTGCGACCGCCCCTGCGGCCGGTGGTGATCAGAATTGTTCCTTGGATTGTCGAGTGCAAGTTGTGATGTTCATGAGGCCCCGGGCCAGTAAGTCCGGGGCCGCGCACACCACAACTATATATTTATTTCAGCTGCATCTCTCCAAATTTTGGTAGCACACCTTATATCCATGCCACGAATCTAATTTGATTCTTGGCATGAATATAAACCGTGTTACCAAAATTTGAAGGGATGCAGCCGAAACTATACAGTCCCCAGACTGTGCGGTCACAAAATACAGGTGTTAGAGTAGGTAAAGTTATTACTTAAATGTACCTATATTACAACGACCTTAAAAAAGATTCGATGTAATTTGACATATATGATTAACCCGAGCCGGGCCGGGGGAGGGGTGTTTGAACACCCCCATGCGGTTTTTCGCAAATATCTATAAAAAAACGGCGAAGCGCCGCCGTTTTTTGGGCACATGTTTATGCATCCTTTCCGCACATGTAAAAATTTCAGACCCAGGGCTTTCAAGGCCAGGTCACTAGGTCAAAGTGTCCCCACCTCAGAAAAAAAGTTTCAAACCTCGTCAGAGCTACACTGGCTGAATGATCGCCTTGAAACTTTCAGCGATTGATAAGAGTAAAAGTATGTACAAAATGTTCTTCCCGGAATTTTGATATCGGTGACCTAAGGTCAGGTCAATTTTTCGACCTCTCCATTATAAGTCAATGGGAGAAATTTGAAATGCGCCTCTTGTGGACGAATGGTGTTCAAAACCCTCTCAAACATCGGTTCATGGGTAAACATGACACACTGAATCGGAAAAAAATGCACCTGTGACTCCTCTGTGTGCCCCTGAGGTCATCTCAGGTCATGAACGGTCACCAGAAGATTTTTTTATTTGGCTTTAACTTTTGATAGAGACGTGATAGAGCGATGAAAGCACGTCAGATGTATTCAGATCGACGCTACGGATTGACTGATATGCAACATGACTCTTTCCGGTCAGATCATGACCTTGACCTGAGGTCAAATTTTCAAAATGACCTTTCAAGGTCAATGAATAGTTCACTTGACGCGTCTCGAGAGAGGAGCATAAGACTGGATTAACCTTTATTTGGCTTTAGACCGTAATGCCCTTAATTTTGAATCAATTTCCTTCAAAGCTCAAAGTTTCATATAATATTTAGGCTTTTAAGTTCGCTGATCTGAGGTCATCTTAACGGCATCAGGTCATAACGGCAGCTGCTGTTGGAAGGTGGGGGGAGTTAAACGCCCCCAGCCGATAACTCGAGAACCAATAGGCGCAGCGAAACTCGCGAGGTGGCAAACCAAAGAACGCGACAAGACACTTCAGATGACCATCTCAAAATTGAATTTTAAGGTCACAGGTCGGGTCAAGGTCAGGTTTTAAACACCTGAAATCGGGCTTTCAGTAGCCTGGACCTCGTACTGGGTGTCTCTCGTCATAAACTCTGTCAAGACTGTGCACAATTTTTCATATACGTGCTACACAAATGACGCATGTTTTATGGGTGCTGTACAGCACAGCAAAACAGCACCATCGTGATCCTGAACTCAAACTGCATCTGATACACTTTTTTAAATTTCGCTTTCAACATTTGACCTTTTTTTACATGAAAGTGACCTGACCTCAGGTAAATTCAGCTGAAAATGACCTCAAATGACACAGACATTGTTTTTGAAATTTAGGATTAAAATGGACCATAAAAAATTACATAAAATTTCCGTGACCAAAGATGACCTGCTCTTGACCTGAAAAATTCGAAGTACAAGTGCGGTACCTTTAGGGTATCTAAGGCACATATCAAGGAGTGCGTAAATCAAAAATGAGCCTGATCGGACTTTATTGCCGGCGGCCAGAGCCTAAATCGTGAAGAAGCCAGAGTGGTGATAATTTTTACTTTGACCTGTGACGTCATCGTTGACCTCGAGGTCAATAAAATTAGGTTTCGTTCGACAATTTTTCAGGGCTATCAGACGCCGTTTAAATTTTGACGATCGGCCCAGTAGTTTCGGAGATAGGAGGGGACTCTGTAGAGCCCCTCCCCCAGTCGCGTAAAATGGGACATCCCTGAACCACCAATAAATCCAATTCTTTGTTCAGACTTGCTTATTCTGAATTTGCGCCAGAAAATAGGTTCGTAAAGCAGGCTGACAAAAAATTTTCTATGACGTCGCTACAGAAATGTGGCTCTGGACATCTGTCTATGATGAACCGATTATAGTCAGGAATAAGTAATTTTGGACAAATTGTGTGAGTCACGTTTAATATTACTGGGTTCACGTTAAATCGCTAAAGCTAGCGCATAATCGGGAAAATCCCTAGAGCCAAACCACTTTTGAATTAAAAAACGAACTATAGTCCATACACTTAACTATAGTTAAGTGTATGGACTTTAGATAGAACTACATACCTATAGAACAACAGTCACTAATAATACACTTCTACAGTCTGGCAAAAGTAAGAAAGACCGATTTGAATTAAAGTTTCATTAATGCACGTGCCCTTATATTGAGTCGAATCAAGTCGAACGCATTGGAGAACGTTTTCCCCGGAGTTTCCAGACGTATTTTCTCCCAACTATGCATTTACAGTGACAGTAGCACGTGATTCAGGGACTACCTGCGGCCTTTCGTACGTTTGCCAGACTCATGGTCCCCGGTCCTTCCCAAATATGACCCACCTGCGAGCGGATCCTAGCGCCAGGTCTTGGAGGTCGGTCAGTTGTCAGCTGGACACCAGCGCCACCTGTCGACGACAGGATGAACTATTGATTCATCCATTTGCCGACACACCTTGCAACTAAATCAGTCGTTACACGATAAAAATCAACGAAATTCGTTTCAATTCATTTTAAATCGCATATCGACACGAAACCTCCTCGATTTTGAAACAAGTAATCGGACAGAACAGATTATGCAATATGCAGTCGGTAATTCAATGATAAATCCAACGCCATCCCAGCGATAGGGTAGGGTGGGGTAATTTGAACATGTGGGGCAATTTGAACATAGTGTGAATAACACAAAATTACGGAAAATCCATAAGTGGCATGACAATAAGACCTATGAGAGAAATTATTGTAACCAAAAGGGCTATCATATGAACGGGGTTTACAGTTTCAGGGAATGAAGATGTTGACGCACAGTAAAAAAATCAATTTCGCAAGGATAAACGCCTAACAACACGTCATTGCAACTTCATTGCAGCGCAAAATCTTGCATTGCTAGCGCCTAATACGCAACGGCTTTTGTTGTACAATGACCTAATCAGTGCCTCCAATCCAAGAAATTTGCTTTTGAACCCTGTTTTTAAAAATGGCAAAATAACTTTTAGCGTGGGGTAATTTGAACATAGTGTCAGAATTTCAATGAAGACAGGGATAGCTCCGAAAAAACAACGCTCCCAGTTTTTTTTTTGCCAATATTTTCGACACAAAGCAGTAGCAGATAAGTGATGCCAGTTTAAGAAAATTTACGTCTAATATCCGTCTAATGTCCAGCATTTTCGTTGATTTTCCGTCCAAAAATGTTAGTCATTTATTTGTCCAAATATGTCCAAAAATTATGCAGCTATCAACACTCAAAACCGTCCTTTATATTACTTATCATATGTAATTTTGCCAGCCGAAAAGTGTTCATTATATTGAGAGCTTAACAAGCTTTCCATTCGCCAATCAATGCTACGCACAATTACTTGATAAAAATGCTTAAGTGTGGCAGGCCATCGTCCAATGTTGTCCAGACTACTATACCTTTGTGCAATCAATTCCGAATTGGACATTATAAAGAATCGTAACTCCGAGTGTCCAGGTTCTGATTGGCACCACTATAACAGATGAAGTAAGGTTTGGTAGAGTTTTTATCGAACGGAGATGATAGACGTTCTGTTAATTGAAGAGAGGCAAATTCTGTCAACTGACCGGTGTGCAGCGTGCAGATATTGATACTCTGCAACTGTTATTTTTGTTGTTGTGTTGATTTCTCAAATGAAGGTATGTTTAGAATTGCTCTGCCTATTCGTTTATGGGTCAAAGAACATCGGTGCTGGCGAGACTATCGTTTTTATGGCAGGTAAATGCAGTATGTTCAAATTACCCCACGGTGGGGCAGTTTAAACACACCGTGACTTGGCAGAAAAGTGATGCTATGCTATTCAAGGTATGCTCGGCTCGTCCAAAAATGAGGCTTGCATGGTAAAAGCAAGTGACACATGCGCTACTGAAACAGTTTTTATTCATCCAGGGTTGAGCTGGAATTTGGTACAACGGAGAAGACGTAAAAATATGTTCAAATTACCCCACACTACCCTACCTACTCACCGGGTCAGGTGGGTCACGTCATCTGTTGAAGTGACGTCCATTGGTCGGTGTACTGGAGCGGTGACCCCCAACTCGCGAACTGCCAGGCGTACATGAAATAAAAACAAATAAGGGATCAGCATAGACAGTTGTCCAGACTAACATTCAGAAACAACCAGCTAATGTTATGGTCATATGATGTGGAAACTGCATTTCATTTGAATTCATTTCACTCGTAATTGCACACGCATTTCGTTCATACCTCTGAAAGAGCTCGATTTCGCCCATTGGCCAGTGTGCTGGAACGGTGCCACCACCTTGATGGCTCCTATGCGCACATGAAATAAGAAAAACGAAATCAGAACAGGAACACCCTTCAAAGCCAAGGGCCAATTCATAAACAGATAGCCAAATCCTAATCAAAAGTGCATTGCATGTCTATTGTTGCTGATGGGCGCACTACTGATACGGCGCGCTCATATTATGTATCAAGTGTGTGTCAAAATATATGACGCCCATGTATAAATTGTATTTCTTGAACCCATTCACTCATACTTGCAGGTGTATGTCATACCTTTGAGAGAGCTGGAGTTCCCGTCGGCCGCAGTTCAGTTTTGACCGGCAGATGGACGTTTCTAATCTCGGTACCAACGGCGGCGCACGTACTGCCGCACACGAGCTGTGGTCTGTGGGAGAAATAACACGATGTTTGTACGATTCTCTACGACAAAGCACGATGAGAGGAGACACGTAAAAAGAATTAACTGAATTGACAGTCGGAGATAGTCTGATCAACTCAAGATTTGAAAAGGATAGCAAAGCAACTGATCTTTATGTAGCGAGAAAAGAAATAATAGAATCTGAACGTTCCTATATGCATCTACGATTCATAAATGAATTTGATATAAAACTACATATAAAATTGCTGTCTATTTCTCTTATTATTGTCTTATTATTTTGTCTTATTATTCTTATTAGTTCTTGTTTATTATTATTCTCTTATTGGCTGATCTATTATTGTTGTCCTTTTGTCTATTGTACCTATATATTGAATATTATATAATTAGAATAAATACGACCACGTAATAACCGTACCGGTTTGAGGGTGGTGAAAATTCCACAGGCTGCAGTTCGGTGTTGACCGGAAAATGCGACAGCCAACAGTCTTAAACGCGGCTTACAGATGCCATATCTGTCGGTAAAGCGGTAAAAATAAAGATACACAAAAATGAATTAGCCCCCTTATCCCAACGCGCACGAAACGTAATGACCTCAAATGAAATGTTACCAGAATGACGAAAATCGAAATGCGAAGGTAGTGACGAATAAAAATAGATTTAAATGACAAAAACCGATTGAAATCACTTAAGACTTTTTCAGTTCAGTCACAAATGCATGAACAAAAGAAAAAAGCGCAAAACATGCTACCCTGACGGTGCTTTCTAGTTCAAGTTCCTGCGGCTTCAGCCTCTAGGAGTTTTAACAAAATGTACTGCTCATTCTGTAACGCCAGCGAACTGCCCGCTAATAGAGTAGGAACAAACGACATAAGCATAAAAATGACGGTGTGCTTACCTTATACAGCAAGTATACCAAAACTCCTGCCAGAATCAGTCACCACGCCGGGAACCGCCCGCACGCAACGAGCGCTGGTAGCGAAAGCTCGCGCGCGCGGCGGACCAACCTCGCTCCGGCCGACCGGCCACCGCCCGGGGGCAGGTCACGGCGGCAGAGGCGGCGCCAGGGATGGAGCCGGGGAGGGCGGGGCACTGCCGCTACACGACCCCGGGGCGGTCGGTCCAAGGGCGGAGTCAGCTGTGACGTCAGCGTGCCTGCGCCTATCAGAGCGCTGATAACGCGTCGGTGTCACTTCTAAGCATGACCTATGAAAGATGTGTGATAACGTCTGGTTGCTATACTGCCACCAAAACGCTTGACCAATAACTGAATTAGTTCGATCTGAATAGAAGTAACGTTTAAATCGTAAATATAAAATGCCAATCTGATAAATGACAATCAGGCAGTCGAAAGCCTTATTTACGGGAAACATTTGAGTCAGATATAAGCTAAGTGCGTGGGATGTGTATGCATTGTCGCATGTCGAAACTGCTGATTGCGTGTCGTGAACGGGTAATAAATATATTTTCTTTTGAGTGTAATAAGGATGAACCTAAGATACTACGGCATCTGTCATACTTAACTAGATACGCAAAGGAGAAACGTTGAGGCGTGAATGCGAATCGGTTTGTTTTGGCTCTTAACTCAATAGGCATTTATTAAATCCCACGGCACAACTCGGCGTCTATTGAGCGGGTGTCCCGCGCACATATTAGTTTGAGAAGGGGAACAGTTGAACGGAACATACCAATAAGACAACAAAAATTAGTGTCGAACGACTAGGTAGACTACTTATTCTTGACATCGAGCGACATCGAGGTAAGCAACGCCCAAAGTACTAACTTATTAGTGTAACTTTTAGCTTCACGATAAAAGTTCGACATCCCCACCCTGTACTAAGGACCATAGCCTCTCTGATTATGCCTTTCACTCGATACGAGCGGGACCCATAAGCCGAGTGGCCTTATAACCCGATGACCAACTAAGGTAAGGTAAGGATAATCGAGTAATGTAGCAATTATGTGTATTGTGTATGGCTGCTATCGTGATTTTTGTCCCTCTCTTGACCCATGTTTCGTGAGTTTTCCACTGCAGTGATTTCTCAAAAGCTCTCTGTGATTATGTCTACGTTTTTCCATCCACTTTCATCCCTCTCATCATCCCTTCTCTGCTCTTTCCTCCACATCATCACAAACACGCACTGCTCGTTTTTGGGCACCTTCATTATCACGAAGACACCGTTATGAACGACTGGGGAGCACCACGCGCGGTCTCAAGGCCGACGACCGGTCGGCGCCCGAGGCAGCCAATCAGCGTCGACGACCTTGACCGCAGCGGGGGCGGGGGGAGGGGCGACACAGAGCGACGACGAGAGAGTTCACTGTCTGGCAGGGCTGCCGGCGCGTGCGACCGACGCGCCGCGGCCGCGGGCACGGAACTTGGCCAGCGTGGATTCCGCCATGTCGCAGCGCTCTTCGGAGGACTCCAGTTCCTGCGGGAGAGGGGAGACGGGTTAGAGACATGATACACGCAGCAGACACCGAAACAGAGCGCAAAAATATATAGGTACCTATAACGTTTGATCGCATCTTCATAGCTCATCTGCGGAACGATTTATGTAGAAACACGGTGGAACTTCAATGGCCATCTAAATTATCGTGGTCCATAAATTTATCATGTTAAAAGGTACTCTGGTATCAACACCTTATTTCATTCATACGTTTTTACATTAGCTCTTCCATCCACGACTAAAATGCCACTGATTTTCCTTCAGACTCCAAACCAGTGACGTCATTTTCACACCCCAGTGACGTCACGCGTGGCTCACCTGCTGGCATTTACGGTACTTGGCGAGGTTGAGCGCGGCAATCTCCTCGGCCTCCTCGATCTGCCGCTTGTAGGTCTTGATCTTCTGCTGGAGGGAGTCGACCACGTCCTGCATGCGCGTGTGATTCTTCTTGTCCTCGTCCGCCTGCAACGACAACGTGTGACGTTATTGTATTGGTTACGTGACGTCATCGCAAGGTTGATGGTAGTTTTTAATGAAGCTGAGATGATGTGGAGGCTGTAAAATTTAACGTTTTCTTGACACGATAAATCATGCTCGTCACGGAATTATGATGAAAGAACGATGCTGCTAACCTTAGTAGATAATCACGATGCACTTTCACTGCGTTCTCAATGCTGAAGATTCAGCCTCTAACTGCTTTAGTGCCATAACCCCAGCTCATTCAACTGAAAGCAGCTCGAACGATCGAGCCTGCTGACAGACCCCAGCCATAACAACTCCCAACCCCCAGATCATCCGGTGTTCAAACCTGACTACCATGTCAGGCAAGGCACTGCACAATCAAACCCCTCAACTAGTCTCCTCCACACCTCCCGGCCCCACTGCCAATAGAAAAACACAATTCTAACGAAAAGTAATCGTCTATTTCAAACAACCTGCGGTTACCATCACCCTCCCCTCCTTCTGACCTGGAAGAGGAGCTCCTTAATGCGCCGGTCGGCCTTGCGGAGGTTCTTGGTGGCCTCACTGTGGCGACGCTGCTCGTGGTCCAGCTCAGACTCCAGAGAGCGCAGACGCTCCTCCAGCTTGGCGATGATCTTGCGGCCGTTCTGGGGTGGGACGGGAGGGTCAGCACTCAGCACCGATCACGGGGGAGGGTCAACTCGCAAGGATATGGATTGTGTTTAATAAAATGACTAGCTAGAACCCTGTTGCATTAATCTGCTCTCGTCAGCCTTCATACAAATTCAACATCTTTTACCAAACGTCGACACAAAAATATATGGAACAACATTTTATTGATGCCGAAGACCGAAACACTGATCTAATCTTCTGATATCATGAAACAAAGCCGAAACTAGGTGTCAAATAATCGCACTAACGGTAACTTCACCTCATAGGCTCTCTTTCGATTTACCTTGACGGCGTTGGCCTCCGCCTCGTCGAGCCTGATCTGGAGGTCCTTGACCTGCAGCTCCATGGACTTGCGGGCCTGCTCCTGTTGCTGGGCGTTCTCCTGTTCGGCCCGCAGCTCGTCGGCCAGCCTGAGAGAGACGAAATGTGCGTGTGAAATTAGACAGGAAAGTACGAAAGCTGGTATTTTCAATAACAAAATGTGCTTGCACCGAACGCTTATTGGCCTCAATGAAGCATACGGCAATCGTGTTACGATGATAGATTGCTAGTTATTAGCCATTTTAAACTCAGACAATGCTCCTTTCATAAATATCGCCGTTCTCTATGTCTTTGTCACTCATATTGAGCTTTAGAATGCTCACGAAAAGATCTGTACAGTGTTCACCCAAGCATGACACCGTATTCTAGAAGCTATGAAAATCTCCATCTTTAAATCACTCTTTTGGTCCTTGTCTTTCTCATGAGGCTACCACCTTGCACAGTACAGTTCTTCCTTTTAGTCTCACCGATTACATCGGTCCTCACCTGGCGGCGTCGATCATGGCCTTCTTGGCCTTCTCCTCGGAGGTCCTGGCCTCGTTCAGCATTTCGTCCAGGTCCACGTGCAGAGACTGAACCTCCTCCTCCAGCTTACGCCGGATGGTGGACACGCTGTTGTAGTTATTGGACACCTCAGCCAGCTGCTGCTGAACGTCTCCCAGCTCCGTCTCCGCCTGAGAAAGGTGATAAATGGTGTCAGAGGTGGGATGGGTAGGGAAATGTGGCTTCAGCTGCGTGGTTGGGAAATGGGACGAAGCATCACGATGAATGACAATTGTATTGACAAGAATTGACAGAATTGACAGAATTGTATTAAGTATTGACAGAAATACACATCTTGCATGATGACGTCGTCCATGAACATTCTAGCATCATCATGCTTTGCATAACCAATAGTTTGGGGTAGGTGTTGTGTTTTGTATATAGGCCCCCCCGAGGCCCCCTACTTGGACCGCCTCTGCGACCCCACGGTGCCAGGTGCCTGTGAGCGCCCCTGCCGGCGCCAGCTGACCGTGCGCGCCAAGCGGCGTGACTGGCGCACGGGACGTGGGCTGGCGCTCGCCATACTTGTTTACGTTTCGATCTCTCTCTCGGCCCATTCGCACCGGTCTAAAATAAATCGCGTTGATATTCATAAGCTCTTTCACTTCGAACCGATAAACGACAACTAAACATGGCGCGGTCGGTTTTGTGAATTACTACGTGATTGAGCATACCGCGATGACTATCATTCAAGAACTGACGGCACTGCTGGAGAGGCAAGTGAAGCGAGCCGCCGACGCCGACAAGCGCCTGGAGCGCTTGGAGAGGCTGCTAACCAGGGAGCCCTCCGCGGGGACGGACGCGACGACCGGAGTGTCAGAGTCGGGGGCTGAGCGAGGCGCTGATGGATCCGTTGGACCAGCTGCCGCCGCCCGCCGGACTGTCTGCCTGCCGGTGTCGGCGACCCCGCCCGCGCAACCGAAGTCGGCATCGACGTGCAACGACCGTGCCGAGTGCAGTGTTCACGACAGTGATTTAGGAGCGGTGAGCCGTAGGCTGGAGGACTTTGAGCTGACGCTCAAATACGCCGTGAACGTTTGTCGGGCGAGCGATGGTGCCCGTGTCACGTGCCCAGACCTCCGCGGTAACGAGGGACATTCCGCGGTGCGCCTGCCGGCCTACAAGAGGCGCAGGCGGCCGAGTGTCGCCCATTCCGCTACCGCCACAGATCATCAGTTTCTCGAGCGTTGCCCTACCTGTGGCCGTCGCCAGCACGCCGGCGGAGACACGTGTCGCGCCGCTGCACACTGGTCGGAAACGCCCTCACGAGAGGCCTCGGGCGATTCTGGAGTTTCGGATTATTTTTTATGTAGATCGATTTGAAATTGATCAAATTATTATACTTAGGCCAAAAACTAATCCGGGTGACCAAAAATAACTGTAATCAGCCCCCGAAGATGGGGTATCCCAGAACTCGGAAACTGACGCGGAGCAAGAGGTTTCTTGAGCCGGATATTCAGAGTCTTATTGCTGATAGACACCAAATTGAAATCCCACATATTATGCATCAAAATGTTCGTTATGAAGTTGCCGACTGGTCAGTGCAAAATTTTTGGTATGCTTTTTCCCTAACTAAGATTTACTGTAGCTTTTTTATGAAGGCTCTCCTACAGTGATTCTGGAATATAACTGCACAGTTTAGGTAAGGAAACAACAGGTAGTCCCATCTAGTCCCACTCTGATTTTTTGTGAGCTGAAGCAGGATTTACAAAAGCTAACTGCGCATATTTGCGCAAAATTTGCAGGAGCCGCTCTTCCTACCCAAGTACCGCCCGCCCCGCCCCAGTTTCGGCTCGGCCGCCGCGCCCGGCTTACGCTGACCTGTGTGGTCTGCACGCATCCATGCGTAGTTGACTGGTCATTAAAAACAGATGCGCTTGAGCTTATGAATATTGTGAAAAGCGCGTTTTATGTATGCATTTATGTATGCATTGACATCAAAAGCCTTCCACATATTGCGTGGCGATTACGGCTTGCATTTAGAGAGCCTTGCTATTGACAGCCATCACTCGGCTGAAGAATGAGTGGAAATTGAAACCTTCGTGAATATAAGACGCTGCAAATATAGGACACCTGTCACTGACGTCGGGTTACCTTGGGCCGTCTTTTTACATTAGATCACAATTCCGGTATTTAACCCTGGCCGGACCGATTGGTTTTCTATATTGACCGGGGAGGGTTGGTACAACTCCCTCGCCGTTTCGCCTCTAATTGAGCTAGAGCCTCGCGGAAAAAAACGAGCTTGTGTGCCGTTATAAGACGCAACAATTAGGTACTACCCGATTTTAAGGTCTTAGGTCAGCCAGTGGCCTCTTAGGTCAGGTAAGTGCCACAAGGCACGGGCTCGGTTTTAGGTTAATTACTTTGCCAAAAATGGTCGCACTGCCGCGATTTTGGCATCATCGTGTTTGTCTAGCTCAGGCGCGTTGAATGCTATACTTGGTGTTCGGATGAAGTCAACTTAAGGTGTTAACCTCGGGTCAAGGTCAAGTCGGAGCCCCTCAGGTCACGAAAATGGTTGAAGGAGGTCATATCGTATATCATTCGATTCGGCAGGTCTTCCTGAGTCCAATGGTGGCTTTCCCGACTCTCTAGCTCCATCTGATCAGGAGTTATTGACGAAAAACTGATATGGCCTTAGTGACGTCATAAATGACGTCACGCAAAGTCAACAATGCTAAAGTGAAGCACTGGACCTTGCAAGGAGTGCATGAAACCATTCCCGGTGCCCGAATAGCAGCTCCCAATTTCCCTTGTTGACTTAAAGTGGTGCTAGATCCTGTATTATACTCAATTATGACGTCATAACTTAACAGATTCACGTCATATATTTAGTGCTTGACATCCAAATGATAGCTTACATATGACAGAGAAGGTATGCAAAGTTTTATGAAGTTTGCTTCTCTAGTGTTGGAATAACAAGCAAAAAACTTTTGCGGAAAGGCCGCTGGCCTCTCGCTGGAGCGTTTCCGACCAGTGTGCGCTGGCGCCATCTGTCGTGCGTGTGGCGAACCGGGGCATTTTCAGGTGGTGTGCCACCAGAGGGCCAACACCACGGCCGATCACCCAGTGGCGACATCTGCAGTGACGAGAGTACGCGACTCGCCGGTGGTGGCGCCAGTAACGGTAGCCGCCGGCACCGCCGTGTTGCCGCCGCCGGCGGACACGGGCGAGGCCGGGCACACTGCGCTACAGCCCGCCGAGCTGAGTGACGCTGCTGACGTCCACGGAGCCTGCCCGCTGCCGGCGGGAGGCTGGCCACTGTAGGGCGGGTCATCCGAGAACTTTTTTTCGAGGACACAAAATGAAGACCGAAATTCCTACGGAGCATGTCACAAGAAGACTGTGTGAATTTTTTCAATTTTTTTGGTCGAGGCTGCGGGTCGCCGCAGCCAATTAATCAACCGGGTTTTTCGCTACATTTTCACTGCACGCCAGTTTTGAGCACAAATGTCATATAATTAATTATTTTCAAATATATACATCGAAACTTCAGCTATTCCTCAACCTATTCTGTAAGTCTGTTGGCTGTATCTCTCTAACTGTGGCCATGGTGCCATGCTCTCTGTATCGGTTTTCCGCAACTCGATCGCAGCGCCATCTCTTGAGAGGACTGTAACCTTGCGTCGGTCGAGACAATATGCATTCTGCTGATGCGATCTTAGGGCGCTGATGAAAAACGTGAGGCACAGGAGCGTATATAGCGTGAAAGCTGTCAATTGCAATAAAAGTAGCCATGAAATGTACATATTAGGAGTTCACCTGACTTTAGCACAGCCATTATTCGCCAAGTGCGATAGTGTCCGCTGGACCTATTAGTCATTTGATTCTGCGCTGAGACTTCAGCAGCATTATTCTCAGTTTTGGCTTCGATTATTTCCTTGCCTGTAAATTTAACCTTTCTTTTGAAATGCAAGTCTAGTGTTAGAACTGAACAGTAGCAGCTCAATTGCAGAATAAGTACTAAGTTAGCCTCGTCAACTTAGCCCGGCTTCATCTGACAACAGACTGAGGATGAGTTGCGAGGTATCCTGCTGATCGGCGATCCGCGTATCATATCACTGCCCGAGGTGCGCGTTCTCATCGGACCATCAGATCCTATTTTGATGACCTATTGGGGCTGGGCCACCGCTACAAGCAGTGGAGCATCGAGCTTCGGCCTTCGAGGGAAACTGATCTCATAATAACCGCGGTATAGCTAAGCGGTCGCCGACGCAATTTGTAATCCACCAAATCATGCGACATTGTTGCAGTTAGTGGAAAGGAGCCTCCATGTCGAAACGGAACTAATGCCGCGTGGTGGTCCTCGGTGACACTTCACATTCTGCTCTCGGAGAGGCAAGTAATTACAAAGGAAATGCCCTTCTGCATTTTACGTGCATAAGGATGCGTCGTTTATCATGATAAATAGGCTAGCCGTGCTGGATCATCGGCTATGACGAGCCTGCTGGACGAGCATATTGCTTCAGTAAATGAGCCCGGTAGTCAATGCTTAATTCTATTTTACACCAAAATCAGACAAGGGCCAAATTATTAAACAGGTTTACAAGATTTGTGGAAAAGCCACTGGACTAAAGCCGCGCCGATCAGTGGACCATTTACTAAGAGTGCCTGTGCATCGAGCAGGAACCGTTCGTGCCGTTTCGGGCAACGCCATGCAGTCCAGATCAGAGAACACTTCTGAACAGCCCGGAAGCAGGCGTCACCTCTTGACAAATCCCGAGGTAGCTGTCAGTAAGGAAGCTTGAGCCAATGAATTTGGTAAAATGGCTTACATTGGCAGCTTGCGAGTTACGTATTCCGTCGCGATCGCCCATCATACAGCATAAATTGACCAGCTTCGAACTATCACCGAGTTCAATGTTGTTCACTATGTCCCAATGTGGTCCGAAATTACGGAGTAAACATTGCAGAGACGGATTACTCCAAAGCATCCAGCTATTGCGAGACCTCTCAGCTCATCGGTCTGTGTCATTTGCCCAGTGATCGACAGGAATAAGTACCGGGCTCACTATAGGAAACTTTCTTTGGCCTGTACTGGGCACTGGCCGATACAGACAGCCAGCAAACAGTGCATACACTGCGATGCTTGCTGAACTAAGGAATGGTGATACAAAGACTCGAGCCACTTACGGCAAAAAAGTGTAGGAAACGAATGAGGCAGGAGACATAAAGATATGCGATTCTACCAGCATTTTGCAATAAACAAGTCATGTTTAAACATGCAGCTCATAGATCGGTCCAAAGAACGCGTTACAGAGTCACCAATAACAATGTCGCTGGAAGAGGGTGACCTTCGATCCACTTTAACAAATTAATTTCGATCCGGTGCATACCCATACTCACTACTCAGGCAGTGGAGCGAGCTGTCCGGCTCGTAACTTAGGCAGCATACGCTGTTGTTATTAAAAGAGCACGTCTCGGTTACATCACGTGTGCCATCAGGACGCAATGCAACGCTCTCATGCCGGCGTTTGAATCAATTATCGAAGTGTGATTTTCTGTCCTAGGATGGTAAGGTGGCTGGCTACATTGCATTCAAAAATGAGCATACGGTTTGGACTGATGTTATCTGTCTGCAAAACTTAATTTAACTGATAAACATATATCAAAGTTAAGCATCTCGTTGTTTTCTTGGCGAAATCACTATAGGTATAGCTTCCGGAGCAATTTATGATTCCTGAAGTATTTCGGATCGAATGGTTACAACTCACTTAGTGTCAAATAAGGAACACCAGGCACCTAGGAACACCAAAGAACACCATATACCCGACGTGGCAGCGGCTGCGTCAGCTTTTAACGGTCGGAAAGCCGTCAAAATCAATGTTATGCCAAACTTGCTCAATAGATGGCGCTGGTTTCGTTGCGCTCAGATCGCCGATGCTAATCGCTATTCTGAGCACGATTCTGCCACTGGGGTTTCCAAACTTTGTGAAGAGGTGGGGGTAAGCATGTAGAACTAGAAAAGAGGTAAATATAGTACCTTTCTCGAATTTTTCCCACTAAATTTTGCAAACAACGAGAAAAATTAGCAAAAGTGGTCTCGAAAAACCGTGGACGGCGCGCCCAGTTAATTTTCAAAAATTCGCAAAAAATATGTTTTAACCGTTTTATGGATCAGCCCGTAGGAAAATCGCTCTTCACTTGAAAACTTTTTCCATCGACCCGCCCTACTGGCCAGCGCAGACCATGGACGGCGAGGCAGCCCCTGACAACGCCGTGTCATCGCCGCAGGCGGACACGGGCCGCACCGGCAGTACTGCAGCGCAGCCGACTGAGCCGGTCGGAGCTACCGCATCCTACGGAGCCTCACCGGCGCCGGCCGGAGGCATCCCAACGTGGAGCACGAACCGAGTGCACGGAGCCTCGCCGCCGCCGGCGGGAGGCCAATCGGTTGCCACCGGCGCCGCCGTGTCGGTGCCGCCGGCAGACACGGGCCGAGGAGCCGGCCGTACCGCGGCGCAGCCCACCGAGCCGGCTGGCGCGCGCGGAGCCTGCCCGCCGCCGGCGGGAGGCTGGCCGGCGCAGACCACGGACCGAGAGGCAGCCCCTGATAACGCCGTGTCACCGCCGCAGGCGGACACGGACCGAGCTGGGTGTACCGCGGCGCAGTCTACAGAGCCGGCTGGCGCCCACGGAGCTTCGCCGTCGCCGACGGGAAGCCTTCCAACGCGGACCAGCTATGGACACGGAACCGCCGACAACGCCGTGTCACAGCCGCCGGCGGACACGGGCCGAGTCGGGCGTACCGCGGCGCTATCTACGGAGCCGGACGGAGCTACTGGAGCGTACAGAGCCTCGCCGCCGCCGGCGGGAGGCCTACAAACGCGGACCGGCGACGGAAACAAAACCGCTGGTGACGCCGTGTTGCCGCCGCCGGCGGACACTGACCAACCCGAGGGTACTGCGGCGCAGCCCGCAGGCCCGGCCGGAGCCGCTGAAGCCTACGGAGCCTCGCCGCCGCCGGTGGGAGGCATCCCAACGCCGAGTACGGGCCAAGGTGCAGCGGCCGGCCCCGCCGTGTCGTCGCCGCCGGCGGACACCGGCCAGATTGAGTCCACCGCAGAGCAGTCTAGCAGGCCAGCCGACACCCACGGGGCCTCGCCGCCGCCGGCGGGAGGCCTACAAACGCTGAGCACGGGCCGAGGTGCAGCTGCCGGCCCCGCCGTGTCACCACCGCCGACGGACACGGGCCAAACCGCCTGTTCCGTGACACAGCCCACCGTACCCGGTGAGACTGATGACGCCTACGGAGCCTCGCCGCCGCTGGTGGGAGGCCCGCCGACGCAAAGCAGGGACGGAGAAGAGGTCGTCAGTGACGCCGTGTCGCCGCCGCAGGCGGACATGGGACAGACCGACTGTGCTGAGGATGACGCGTGTCTGGCGCCGCTCGTGAGCCCGGTTCAGGAGATGGCCGGAGACGCCGCTGGCTGTGATCCGTGGCCGCCACCCGACACCGGAGCGCCGCCTACCGGTGACCTCCCGGGCGACAACGGGCGCACCCGCTGCGGACGCCGGAACAAGCGCCCGCCGCCATGGGTCGCAGCAGTCGTGTGTGCCAGCCCCGATCGTCTGTTCGTTTGTTGGGGTGCGACCTCGTATGAGGAGTGAGACAACGTCGTGCAGTGTTGTGTTTTTGGCGGTTTTCACGACTGTTGTCTCGAGGGGGAGATGTTGTGTTTGTATATAGGCCCCCCGAGGCCCCCTACTTGGACCGCCTCTGCGACCCCACGGTGCCAGGTGCCTGTGAGCGCCCCTGCCGGCGCCAGCTGACCGTGCGCGCCAAGCGGCGTGACTGGCGCACGGGACGTGGGCTGGCGCTCGCCATACTTGTTTACGTTTCGATCTCTCTCTCAGCCCATTCGCACCGGTCTAAAATAAATCGCGTTGATATTCATAAGCTCTTTCACTTCGAACCGATAAACGACAACTAAACAGTAGGCAAGTAATATAAAAAAGGACGGGGTATTTGACACTCAATTTACCAAACTTGTGCTTAGCCTTGCAGGTGTAGTGGAAACCTTTCTGCATGGCATACCACGACAGCAGGTCTGCATTATCTATTACGTCCCCTGACCCCAACATGACCTTTCCCACCTCCGTTTAACCCCTACCCAACTTCACCCACCCCTCTACCCACTGACCTGGCGGCGGCCGCGGTCGGCCTGTTCCAGTAGTGTCCGGCTCTCCTCCACCTCTCCGTGCAGCGCGTTGGCGCGACGCTCCGAGATGGCCAGTGCCTCGCGCACCTCGGCACGCGCGCGCTCCTCCTCCTCGATCTGAGTGGAGATCTCGCGCAGCTCCATCTGCACCCGCTTGATGGTCTTCTGGCTCTCGAAGGTCTCGACGTTGGCACGCTCGACGGCCACCTCGAGCTCGTTGATGTCCGTCTCGAGCTTCTTCTTCATGCGCATGGCCTCGGCGCGGCCCTTGGCCTCGGCCTCCAGAGAGGCCTGCATCGACTCCATCTGGCGCGCGTGGTTCTTGCTGCGGGGAAGACGGAGAATGGTGGTTATAATTTGTCACAATAGTGTTTAATCGGTAATGTTGGCGGTTTTCCCGGTGAAAGTGTTTTGTTTTCGCTGCTCACAAGTCACAGGCATAGATCTCGGTAAACCGACGTCTACGTCACATGTTATTCTGACGACCTCAATCGGTTATTCTCGGTCATTCTCTCCTTACTGCCTGTTATCAATCGTAAATGTGACCAAGATGTCGTCTTGTTCTCACTAATCCCAGATAACTAACCCATCAAAACGTTGGTCCGAAAAGTGATGCTACTTCTCTCACCAATCTTACCTTTCGGCATACATTTCCAGCTCTCCCTCACTTACCGAGTGTTCTCGAACTCCTAAACTCTCTCCCACTCATCGAGTGTTCTCAAACTCCTAAACTCTCTCTCTCTCTCACTCACCGAGTGTTCTCGAACTCCTAAACTCTCTCCCACTCACCGAGTGTTCTCAAACTCCTAAACTCTCTCTCACTCACCGAGTGTTCTCGAAGTCCTAAACTCCCTCACCACTCACCGAGTGTTCTCGAACTCCTCCTCCTTCTCCTGGATACGCCGCTCGATCTCCTGCCGCGCCTGGCTGAGCTCCAGCTGGCCTCTGAGCACCTTGTTCTCCTCCTGTTCCAGCGCACTCTCGGCCTCCTCCAGGGCCGCCTGCAGCTCCTCCTTCTCCTGCTCCACGCGTTTGCGGAGTTTTTCCACCTCGGCCAGGTTGCGGCCGCCCTCCGAGATCTGATCCATCAGGTCCTGAAGACGTGGGAGGATGAGTGGTGAAGTTCGTGAGGTGATCAAGAAGCGAGGTCGTGCAATGTGATAAGCAAGAGAGCTTTGGCCTTGGCATTCTCAACAAAGTCCGTACGCTTCGAGACAAAATTTTAATAGTGATTTCCAGTTCAAAATTAGGACGTTACATTGCAACATATTTCAGGATTTATTTGAAACACTGTGCATCTCTTACCGAACTACCGAACTCTTACCGAACTCAACTGAGCCTCGTTCTCACACTCACAAAACTAGCAGACCTGAAGAGCAGCTCTCCTCCTATAGAGCAACCTAGCTTGTGACCTCTAGCGCGTGGTCTCGCCACCTACCTTGACCTCATCGGCGAGGCTCTTGTTCTCGCGTCGCACGGCCTCCAGCTGTTCGACACTCTCGTCGTAGGTGGAGCGCACGCGGTACAGCTCAGTGCTGTAGTTACGGCAGTCGCGCTGAGAGGCGTCCAGCTCTCCGGCAACGTCATCCACCTGCGGGGGAAGGGGGAGACGGGGAGGTTAGGCACAGAATGTGTGGTGAAGGAACAAGAATGTGGGGGTGCCGGTCAACGAAGTCACCTCAGGTCACCGAGGAAAATGACATGGTGTGGAAATAGTGTGGACAAATCATGAAGGAAACTGGAATGTGGGAGTCTGCCAGGACATCGAGGTGAGTAGTAATTTAATCTTGATCGAGATTACCTGGCACATGAAAACGGAATGTGGGGCTCCCTAGTTACACGACGAACATCTAAGTGAAGGGAACGAACCGTAAGAATGTTCTACCAAACAAAGCCCTGCCGTTGAGCCGTTCTAGCAATAATAATCTAATCCATGGTTGACAGTCGTCACATTCGTCAGAGCAACAGGTTTTAGTAAGGCCGTTCGTGTTAAGCGCGTTTTAAACTACGTTTTCCCCGATCCACAATTTCCACCTTCATTTGACCAAACCAACTCCCCTCCCCCCTTCCAAACACTAATCTCTCACCTTCATCTTCCACTCGGCGATGATCTTGTCGAAGCTCTTGGCCTTCTTCTCCATCTGGGCTGCCAGCTGTTGAGCGCGCTCCACCTCCACGTGCATCTCGTCGATCTCTCCCGTCAGCCGGGTCTTGATCTTCTCGAGGCTCATGTTCTTCTGGTTGAGCACCTCCAGCTGCTCAGTGGCCTCCTGCAGGCGGGCCGCCAGCTTCCTGCGCTGTTCTTCCAGCTCCTCGGCCCTGGAGAGTACAAACATGGCGGGCCGTGTAAAACATAATAACGATGTGTGGTAACGTAAGACGTTAACTTCAAAATGGCGATAAGCATTACGATAAGCATTACGAGCTTTGATATGAAATAGTTAGGCATTGAGTTTTCGTAGATGGAATATTTGTGCATAATTAGCTGCTTGATGGAATGATTTTTCTTTCTAGACGATAGTAACCGAAATAAGAATGCAAACATCAAAGTGAACGTATTACTTTTGAAGGAAACTGCGATCAGGACCACATCCATTCATTCATCCATTCGGACAAAATTTGTATAAAAATGTAAACATTCTGACCTGGCGACGCCCTCCTGTTCGTATTTGGTGCGCCACAGCTGAGCCTCTGCCTGAGCCTTGGCCACCTGGCGCGCCAGATCCGACTTCTGCTCCGCCTCCTCGTCCACCTGGCAACCAATCAGAAGTGTGAGACGATGAGATTCGGCCAATGACAGTCGTCCGGGTAATCATCGAGGACCAGTCAGGAGCAAGGAAAGACGTTTCAAAGACGTTTAATGTTTCGTTTAGAAAATAACAGTGCATTGTTTCAGAACAGATTCTTTTCTTTTTAATCGACATTTAGTCGACATTTTACACAAGTTAACTCATCTTCTCGGTCACGAAGTCGACATCAAATCTAACATTCCGAAAATGATATCACGTTCAACTTCGCGTGCATCGATGTGACATCGTAGTCAACTCACAGACTCACCTCTCCCTTACTCATGGACTCTACATAGACCCGCCTCGGTGCTCGAGTACCTATCGATCACCCACCTGTTCGCGCATAGAGTCGATGTCGTGCTCCAGGTTGCGGTATTTGCCGAGGATGGTGGTACGCTCTCGGCTCTCCTCGTCACAGACGCGGTTGACGTCGTCCAGCTGAGCCTGCAGCGTGGTCTTCAGCTTCTGCAGCTGGGACACCTGAGACTCGGCCTCCTCGACCTGTGAGGAGATAGAGAGGTGTTTACTCAGTTTAGTGGAGGGTATTTGTGGCTAGGTAGCATCCAGTGGGGCTATTATAAAACGAGTGTAAGCGATCGAACATGGTGACATCAGACAGGCAGAGAACGCAATTGAGGAAGCAAACTTCTAGGTAGGAAGAGCACGAGTTATAAATAAAGTCTTTACGATAATCAAAGCAAGTCATGATGATCATATGACGCATCTTAGAGAGCTCTGTCATCTCCGCTTTCTTACAGACCGAAGTCCACAGAAGAAAAATAGAAGAGAGAGAGAGAGAGAGAGAGAGAGAGAGAGAGAGAGAGAGAGAGAGAGAGAGAGAGAGAGAGAGAGAGAGAGAGAGAGAGAGAGAGAGAGAGAGAGAGAGAGAGAGAGAGAGAGAGAGAGAGGAGGGAGAGAGACCCTTACCTGGTGCATAAGATCCGCATTCTCCACCGACAGCTTCTTCTTGGCGGTGTCGAAGTCGCCCAGGGTGCGGTTGGCCTCCTCCAGCTTGGCGTTCAGCTGGCTCAGCTGCTCCTGGAGACCCCTGGTCTGCTTCTCCTCGGCGGCCTACCAGTCGGTCAGGTCAGGTCAGGTAGGGTTAGGGTAGGGTTATGGTGGGTTCAGGGTAGGGTTATATGGAAGGGGCAGGGTAGTGGACAGGATCAGCGCAATGGAAAGCAGTGAGGACATGGTTATATGTGGATGGATCAAAGAAATCAGACAAGGTCATGTCAGGGTCATTGTGGGATCAGGGTAGGGTTATATGTAAGGGAACAGGGTAGTGGACAGGATCCGCATGGTGGAATGTAGTGGGGACATGATTCGGTTCGGATGGATCATAGAAATCCGACAAGGTCGTGTAACGCTCAGGTGGGGGACCGATTCAGCAATCTCGCATACATAATACTGATTTAAAGCCAAGCCCTTTGAAATGTTTGGGGTACCAATTACCGTCGCATTATATTTATCGTTCGTGATTCTGAATAATTTTTTCGGTGCTGATACAACAGCCAAAACAGAACTAGGACGTGTGCAACTTTATAGAATGAAGATGCTAGTTTCTGAGATGATGTTGTGTCAAAGAAACGGTTTGTGAAAAGGATAATAAAGTTCAAATGATAAATTAGCGAGAGATATTACGGTTTAAAACAAATGCATGCTCACGTAGCCTTTTATGAATTATTCATTATGAAAGAACGATAAATAAGAACAGACCACAGTTCATTATAAGAAATGCGTGTAAGCATTCGTTAACTTCGAATACACCTTTAGAGGGCAAATAGATCATACATCGATTCAGAATTGAGCCGATAGTAAAGTCATGAAGACCCAAAACCCGAGTTTTATGCCGCAGCTGCCTTACTCTCGTTACTTTCAACTCTCTTACTCACCCCAACTAAAACATAATAAAATGCAACAACATCAACAGGTGGCATACATGAAACATCGTGTTAGCCACATAGGAGATCCGAAAGGCAGCGACACAAAGAGGAACAGATGAGGCGGCATGCACCAGTAATCCAGAGACGCGGGTTCGAGCCCCGTTACCGTCAAGTGCTTCACTCTGTCCAAAGCGCTTCGACAGCTTTCGGCTTCGACGTTCAGCTCGATAACGTGTCGCTCGACGCTAAAAAATCGCACGGAAAATTAAAATACACACCTCAATCTAAAACCAAAATTCTATACATCACCAAAAATGGTGACCAAAAATGGCGAACCAAGTACTGGAAACGCTGCCAAAATAGAGGTGGTCAAAGCGTTAGCGGGGTGAGTCGTTAGCCCATCTCTATTCTACCTTCTCGGCATTGGTCTGATCCAGGGCGAGGCGCAGCTCCTGTGACTCCTGACTAAGGACATCGCCCTCCCGCTCGGTCCTGGGGAAGGGGCACACGTCTCGTGCAGGACAAGCGGCCGGGAATCGAACCAGAACCGAACCGGACCCGAACCGAACCAGGCTCGAACCGAATCGGACCAGGTACGAACCGAACCGAGCTGGGTTCGAAGCGGGTTCTAAGCGCCTTGGCTCTAATCGTATCGGGGCATCTCCCTAATGCAGGGTGCATCACGAGACAAACGCAGGGTGCAGCGCAGGTACGACATCACAGGTACGCCAGGGGTACAACGCAGGTACGACAAGGGGTACAACACGATACCGTCACAGGGACGGGGTACGGCGGACATGGACTGACGAGCTGCTGTTATTGGACTCTCCACAGGGATAGGTGCGACCCGCGGGATCAGGACGGGTCACGTCAGTCGGGTACCTTCTCGTTGTTGATATGCTCAATGGCCATGCGAACATCATGGGCCTCCGAGGAGTAGCCCTGACGCTCCTTTTCAATCCTGTACGGGTGGTGGAATGGCGAAACGCTCAGCGGGGCGATAAATACGATACATAGCGTGCTACTTCAACCCGGATCAACACTACAGATCATACTGGCGACAGCAACACTACCTACAACACTATGCATACGTTACTATCGACAACTACATATGAAATCGATACTTCCATGAATACATGGATATGTACAGCCCACCGCTAAAGTAATGTAGGGTTTTACCAATCTCAACGGTTGGCTTTGACTGGCGATTGTTTAATGCGGAGTGATCGAAAAGAAGATGTCAATAGCTAAAGTTGCAGCTGCAAGGGTGACGATACATATAAGCTACATTCAAAGTTTCATTGTAGTCTGGCTAATCGTTCCTAAGCTTCAGAAGCAGAACATACCCATGACTGAAACCCCACATTACTTCTGCTGTGGACTGTACGTCTACAAATTACACTACAAACCAATAAAACTACAAACCAATTAGATATTCCTATCAGAATTTGACGACGATTCCATCAGAAGGAAACTATGCTGATCTACTAACACACTCTCATGACGTCCTAAAACCAGTGACGTCACCACGGCGTGACTCACTTGGCCTTGGCCTTGGTAAGCTGGTCGATCTGCTCAGCCATCTCCGTGATGGCGTCGTTGTGCTTCCGGCGCAGGCCCGAGAGCGTGGCCTCCTGCTGGATGTTCTGCGGAGACGAGACAATAAAAATGAATTAAAATAACGTCACATCAGGAAGTTGACAATAAAACGAATTAAAATTATGTTACTTGGATGCTAGCGAGCAATAAAAATATTTTAATATTTTATTGAACTTGACAAGGACTTGACGACAAGCTAAAGTTCTCGACTCCAATAATACAACAGCTGTCCGTAGTGTAAATAAAAGCAAGCAAGAAAACATGCCTACATGACTTACCATATTTTTAATTCTTTTCGCACGTATTTGTCGTTTTTGCACGCATTGAAAACGACAAAATTGCAATGCATAACTTCTTAAAATCACTTTAAGTTCATTTTCTCTCGCTAGATGTCCGTACCTGCTCCTCGATGTCCCGGCGCAGTTTGGCGATCTCGGTCTCGCGCTTCTTGTTGAGCTCGATCTGCGCGGCGGTGGCTCCTCCGGCCTCCTCCAGACGCTCACTGAGCTCCTCCAGCTCGCGGGACTAGAGAAGGAGGTCACCGAGAGGTCAGGGCGGGAGGTCACCAGAGGTCGCGGCGGGAGGTCACCAGAGGTCACGGCGAGAGGTCACCAGAGGTCAAGGCGTGATGTCAGCATGGGTCAGGTCAGGGGAGACCGCCTAATCTACATATTGCACATTGCGCTAATAGGGTCGTTTTGCGTTTATAAAAACGACTTTCCGTTGAGACTAGAGCCAAAACTTATATTTCTGCGTTATAAAAATATGTCAGCAGCTCTAGCCACTAACCAGCTCCAGCCTATCAAAACCGGACAACTTCCATTCTACCACATTCAAAAGACGTTTTCGCTGCGTCTGTCCACGCTTGCATTCCCTCTCGTCCCTCGACGAACTTTACTCTCGTCCCCTTTCTCCCCCACTACTCCCCACTCCCCGCACTGACCAGGTCGGAGCGCTGTTTCTCGGCCTTGGCGCGCGCCTGACGCTCGGCCTCCAGCTCCTCCTCCAGCTCCTCAATCCTGCCCTGGAGCTCCTTGATGACGCGCTGCAGCCGGGTCACCAGAGACTGCTCCTCCTCCAGCTTGGCTAAGGGGCGGGGGAAGGTCAGGTCAGAGGTCGGGGAGAGAGGGGAGTGGGTTTAGGTGTTGTACAGTCAGATGGAGTGATTGGTGACATCAGGCGTGATGGACCACGTCTGCAATGTAAGTAGCATCAGGCAAACCGGGTGTAAGTCAGTGTCGTTTAGCAATAAAACTGCTTGGATTGGCGTGGTACGAACGATGGCTTCCCAGTTGGTTAGATGCTTACGAAGCTACAAAGATACTGGGGAGGCATTTCGCTCGTATAAATGGCAAAGCTGCCAACGATTTTCCCAACGATCTTCACAACAACTTTCCAAACGATTACGCCCGCTTCTCTGTGTCGTCCATTTCCCGTCCCGGAATACTCACAAGACAGCTGAGCGATCTCGCGGTCCTTGCGCTGAATGGTCTGCTCGAGCTCGCGTTTGTTCTTCTCCAGATCAGCCACAGCCTCCTGGGTCAGCTTGAGGTCGCCCTCGACCTTCCTCTTGGACTTGTCGGTCTCAGCACGCGTCTTCTTCTCGCGCTCCAGCGAGTCCTCCAGCTCGTCCAGCGTCTGCTCCAGCTTGGCCTTGACCTTGAGCAGGTGGCCGACCTTGTCCTCCTGGGTGCCAAAGTCCTCGGCCGTCTTCTGCTGGTTCTCCTGTGGATGTAAGAGGGTGGGAGATGTGTTAGTCTGAGTAGCTGGGTTCCGAGTTCCGAGTAATACTCAATAAGTTTAGGATGTGCTCCAATTGCTGTCATTGGGCATCCTTCTGAAGTTGTACACCCTTGCACTACCTACCAAAATGTTCCGATAAAATTAATATAAATCCTAACAAAGGCTTATGAGGATCAATCCATTGACTTTCGCTCACTACGTTTTGGAAAAGTCTCTTGCTAATCTCTCCTCTTCTCTTCCATCTAATCCCACTCTTTTCTTACCTGCAGGCGCTTCTTCTCGCGGTTGAGCTTGTTGATGGTCTCGTCCTGCTGGGCGATCTGCTCGTTCAGGTTGCGGATGGTGTGGTCCTTGTTGGTCTTCTCGGCTTCCACCTTCTTCTGGGAGGCCTCCAGGTCCTCGAAGTCCTTCTTGAAGCTGGCCAGCTCCTGCTCAGCCTTGCGCTTCTCCTGAGTGAGCTTCTGGCGCTCCTGCTCCTCGACAGCGAGACGATCCTGGGCATCCTGTGCGTGGGAAAAGGCCAGTGAGTAAAGACACGAATTGGAGGCTGGAGCAAGGGATTATGGGAGATCTGGATCGTGGGAGCATGGTGACATTTGACTTAATGAATCTAAAATGTAGGATGAATACCTGGCGAATTTTAACGGCCTTGTTGCCTTTAAACGCTCTAATATGATTAGAGTTTCATTATGGACGTGTTCATAATTTGCTGCACATTTTTTTTAAGCAGTGAACATTATCAATGTGATGTTAAATTTAATCGAGGATGGCCAATGACCGCATGAACACCATGCAGCATCGCATGGTGCGCATCAAATCCTACCCACACAGCCGCTTATTTTCGTTCGGCAGCCTTCCCGTCAGACCAGCCGCTCCACCGCAGTCGTTTGTGCGGCTTAGTCAGCACCCCGGCCTCCCAGATCCCCCAAACTCCCCAGACGTCGCCCACCAGACACCTGCAGCCAACAGAGACGCCGCCTCCGCGTGTTGTCTTTCCGCCGACTTCCCGTCTCGGAGCGCCTTTCCAAACATCGTTACGCCCGTTGGACGATTTGTGGCGGCTCGGTGTCGCCGCTACCGCTCAGCCGATCCCTTTCTGGACCCCAGGGGGATCAGAAACCCCGGGGGACGCAAGCCTTACGGCTCGTGTTGGGCACCAGGGGTGCGCGGAGCTCTACGGCGGTCCCGCTGGCGAAACTGGAGCATCGAACCGGCGCCGCCGACGCACCGAAAATACCGAACTGCGTGACTCAGACGCAGACCGGGGGAGACTATTTTTACACGAGCTGTGCGGAGGAATCCGTGCGGAAACCTGTTGGCTTTGAAGTCTACATGTGGCGAACATGAACAGCTCTGCCCGACTACACCTAGTGATGTTTGGGAATCAGTTAAGAGGAATTTAGAACCGAACGCCGTCCACATTTTGTGCACGATATTTGTAGACAGACACCGATGTGATAAAATGGAAATTCAGAAAATTTTGATATCGCGATTCCTTCGCTTTCAGAGCTCTATTTCCCGTTCGATTAATTAGCCGAATGTTTGAGTTCACCCACCTATCGCACCCCCTGCCGCCCAGCCGCGACGCTTTCAACTGTTTGCCGAGAGGCGCCGCGGACCGTTCTGCACGCTCCAGACTGCGGCCGCTTGTTTATCCGTTCCGTTCCTGTTTCCAATAGCAGCAGGAGACGGCAGATAAACCACCAGTCGAGGCGTACGACCGCGCAGGGGGCTCGCTCTCAGCCAGCGAACGGGGCCGAACGTGCCCTGAGGTGTCGATCTTGGCCACGGAGAAGCACCGCTCTGTTGATCTGCACCGCGATGTGCATTACGCCGACGTGTTGATTCGCCCACCGAATGACGTCAAAAGAAATGGAAGAGAAAATACCGGACTGTCTGATGGCCGGGTTGGGCAAACATTGACCGTTTTCAGCTGTATCAAAGACAGCTGCGTGGCTTCGCTGATATCGACGTTATCGCGTATCAGAAGACTTGCGGCCTACATCCGTTGAACCGGGTCCCGAAGATGCCTCCACCCTCCCATTCTGCCATTCTGACAAGCTTTCCGATGGTTCTTGTGTTCTCGCTATTCGATTGCCGCCCCATTTTTCCCTTATGCCGTTGTTTCACCTTCCCCGGAGCCAAGTTAACGTATCCTTATTCTTCTCTGCTTTCTATACTTCTTCCCCTGATCTTACGTGCGTACCTCAATCACGAAGTTTGAACCCATTTTCTTATTCCGGTCCAATCAACCCGCTCAATACGACTACTTCTTCCCCATTCTCCATCTTTCATTCATCTTATTTAGAAATCCAATCATCCTCTCATCTCCCAGCCCACTTTTCAATCACCAATTCTTCACCTCTCCCATCCTTTCGACTTCGACCTTCTATGTAGACTAGACTCTCGACTACTACCCACTCTGACCTCCCGTCCAACCCCTCCTCTTTCACTTACCGTGAGCTGAGTCTCCAGGTCAGCCTTCTGGGCCTGCAGTTTCTGCTGCTTGGCGATCTCATCTCCCATGGAGCCGCGCTCGGCCTCGAGGCGCGAGAGGAGCTCATTCTTCTCCTGGAGCAGCTTGATGTTCAGTTCTTCGTTCTCCTTCCGGGCCTTGGACTCGACCTCCAGACGAGCAGTGGCATCGTTAGCCTCTTCTTCGAGTTTCTGTCGGAGGGAGGGAGTGTGAGTTGCACGGGCTTGTGCACGCGGGCACGAGAAGAGCGAGCTTGTTGGGGGATGGGTCTACTAGTTGTGTGTGTAAGTCTTAGGCGTTGAATCGTGATGGAAGGAAACTGCCACACGATTTTATAGCAAAGCTTTTATGTACCTTTGCGCGATCGTACAGCTTTGCGGTCAAGCATGAAATATACCTACCCTTATTTTCATGAGAAAGTGTGTTGTAACTTGTAACTTTAATGGATGGCGGCGGTGTGGAGAGCTCGATTCTTAGTGTTGGTGAAGACTTTTTCGCATAAACTTTTGCTGACTTTATCCCAGCATACGAAGCGAAGGCATACGATACCGATGCATCGTTTACGTTATTGCTATAGCTGCTCGTGTCTGATATTATTTCACAGCCCTTTTACGTTCTCAACCACGCTTGGGGTATTGCTTCTCGTATTCGGGACTCGTGTGTACAGCCAGTTTGAAATGCTACAAACTAAAACGCATTTTGAACACTTCTCTATTGACCTTTTTATCTTGATTATAAAACTTTCATGCTGCTATACGTGAACGTATTATTTATGGTGAGTCACTTCACCGAACGCCTTATACTTTGAGCGTTATATTTCAAGAAGCACGTGAAATTTTCGAGAACATTGATTCGTATTGCAGCTCCAAGAAAGTTTAATATTTGTTACACAAAATGTCACAAAATATGGTTAAATCTGGCAACAGCGACAGTCGTTTTGACACAATGGCGTGATTACATTAAAGAACAAAGAGCTAGACAAGCACTCATCCCTCTGTAAGTAAGAAAGGCAACAAATTTCGTCAACACTCAGGCCTTGACAGCTCCCTACATTGGACCGATTTTGCCCTCGTGTATTCAAACCCCACCGGGTCGCGGTTACCTTTTTGCGTCCATCGAGCTGCCCAAACCACTCGTCGTACTTGGCGACCGCCTCGCGCACACCCTCCTCGAATTCGCGAACGTCGAACACCATTGTCACGGGCGCGTGTTTGTGTGTTTGGGTGGGGAGGGTGAGGCTGAGCTTGCGCCTTGATTGGACGGTGCGCCGACGACCGCCGAAGCCGACTGACGGCGCGCGACGCACGACCGGCCGTGCCCTGAGGCGGTGCTAGTTCGACGAGTCACCGCCAGGGGGTCTGAGTCACGGCGCAACCCGCAGAGGGTTCTGGTCTTGGGGGTCAAGTGGCATGAGGGAAGTATGATGAACGCGATTTTTCGTCTTGAAGATCCTGATGTGCGCGAGTTGTAAATTGTAATGCTTATGTTCTTGTGTTTCACAGATCCTTTCTCTCACTTTCGGAACTATCATTTTCAATAACGCAAATTGAGATTGCAAACGATCTGGGACATTTTTTTCACTATAGGCGGCGGAACGGGGAGGGCACCGGGGCACCGTGCCCCCTTTGATTTTGGCATTTTAACATTAGCCCTATTGGGCGTTACATGGAAAGAATGGGACCAAAAGTCGGCAGTGCCCCCCCCCCTTCATTGAAGGTGTTCCGCCGTTACTGTTTTTTTCACTTAAAACACTTTATCTTTGTCGCCTGTTTCAGTGCGTGAAAAGAAATCCATCTTCATCACCTATAGCTTCGCCGCAAGATTATCCTATGACTCCTTCAATCAGTCATCGGTCTCTCAGCACCCCTTTCCTTTCCACACCCCTACCAGCGCCTGACGCACTCGTCATTCGTTAGCTCAACCGTGGTTTTTCGGAGAGTTCACTCATGCTGTGTGCCACACCTATGGGTCGGCGCCATCCCAAAATAGCCAGAGCAGGAGTCGATGCTCACTGAGTCAGCAGGATTACAGTCAGGGGCACGGAGAACTTCGTGTCAGTTGGTGGATGATTGGAGCATGTGGCGATGGGAGCGCTGAGGGGTGGGGTGTATCGGTGAGATTAGTGAGATGTGTAGGCGGAGTTCGAGGAAAATCTGGACGGGAAGTGTGGACGGCGCGGTAGTGCGGTCGAAACAATTAGAAGGGTCACCAGGAAATGCTATATGTAGAAATTCCGATAACTTTTCAGATAACACACGGAGTCAGAGACAAATGGAAGTTCTCGTAAGCTGTAGCTGCATATTTAATTTTTACCCTTTTGTTTACCCGTCGCTGTCATCGATCAACATATTCGCAATTTAACCTGTTTTTTTTTTACTCGCTCACTTTTTACTTCCTTTATTTATTATTATTTAATTGAAGAGTGTTGCTGAACCACAAGCTTGTGCAAAAATGCTTGATGAAAAACTGTTTGACCCGTAACTTTTCCTCCCAAGCAGCACGAGCTCCGGCCCCCGGTCTCCACCGTGCGTCAGGCCGGACCGGGAGCTGGGGGCGTCAGTCATAACACGTCCGTACCGTGCGCGGCATGTGAAAACACACGTGCCCCGCTCACGGCGGCACCTCTGACTGAGCGGAGCCAGCTGCCTCGCCGGCTGACTCATGAGGCAATGTCTCACAAAGACGCCTCGCCAGATCTGGTTACCAATCGACCAAAATGGAACGGATTGAGAAAGAACGGAAAATAGTGGGGTAGTCTAGTCATGGAACTGGTTGATGTTGGGGATCCGTAGCAACTGTTCAGGCCGCTAGAGCATTTAACATTGTGTGATTATTTGGAGCCTGCATGCCTTCATCGTTCCAGGATGACCCAGCATAAAGAGCTGTTGCTTGATTTAGGGCGATATCTTTTATACAAATGCAATCATTCTTGTGACTTTTTCTCCGAAGTGACTTGGAATTTCAATCCAACTAGACACTTTGATTGTTACCGAAACAGTTTCGACAAACAGACAGGTCATGGTCTATGCATTCCAGCACCGCTTCATAATCACGACTGTAAAGTTTTATTGATTTTACTATGCTTGGAGTTTCGCTCATTTTTTGTTGCTATATAAGTTGTTAAGGTCAATCGAATCTGTTTATCCAATGAACCGGTTGTTCAGAAGTCTGCGTCACTTAACGATTTTATTTTTCTCAAAGTGCTTCTCTAACAGGTCAAACAACACTCATCTCCATAACTAACCCATTATTCGCACAGGCCTGTTTACAAATAGCTTCCCAAACCAACAACGATGGCTTGAACGGAGCCGTTTCTTCCGCATGGGTGACACTTGAGTACCGTTAGCTCGTGATGTGACCAACTTGGATTGTCTCCAAGCCATTACTGAACGCTGCAGTGCAATTATCTCGCGAATAAACAGCCGTAAGTAACGGGTGAAGTGTTAGAAAGGTGTTGGTGCAGACTGCAGACTGCAGAGTCGTTGTGAGCGGGGAGGGGAAGGGGGAGGGAGGGAGGGAGGGAGGGGAGAGAGAGAGAGAGAGAGAGAGAGAGAGAGAGAGAGAGAGAGAGAGAGAGAGAGAGAGAGAGAGAGAGAGAGAGAGAGAGAGAGAGAGAGAGAGAGAGGGAGGGAGGGAGGGAGAGAGAGGCGAAGTTCCATGAGCCGTTCCGCAGCTGAGCCGACGTAAGCTGCCGCCTGCGAGGATGCTGTACCGCCGGGCTTATATGCTGTGCGGTACAGCCTACCGCCCAGTCGTCGCACTTATGGACCCAGCAGAATGGTGCGGCTTGTGGAAATTCGGCAAATTTCTGAGAAAGTTCTCGAGATTTGATACACCGGTATCTGGGGAGTGTTCTTGTGATTTACTTTTCATCAATGCATTGTTAATAATTTCAATCAATGGACTGGATCGGTTGAATTTTAGCTGGCAGTATTTATGTAACTATTTATGCATCGGATAATTGAAGCTGTGTGAGCAATTAGCGTTCCGTTTCATTCTAAACTTATTGGATTTATCTATTCTGCCATCGTGCTTGTGAGCATGGTTAGTAATCTCCAATGTAAGGTTTTACTTCACTGTGAACCGGAAAGTACCTTGAAAATGTGCACATAGTGACCCGTTCTTTGAGTTGACACATACCGTGGCCAGTGACGCGACCCACCCCATGACCGGAGATGTCTCCCATCCCCGAACTGACCTTGATCTCGTCCTCGATGCGGGTCTCGTAGAGCATGGGGCGGACCTTGACCCAGAGACGGAACCACGACCATCCCTGCATCTGCATGTACTTGCGGATGGCGCGCTGCACAACCAGCAACATGGCGCTGAAAAAAACGTGACAAAGAGGTGAGGACAATAGGGAACACATAACACAGTATTAACCCGGCGGCCGCTGGGCCTCCGCGCCACCCGCCGGCCGCTGGGGGGGGGCATAAAGTTGCCCCCCCTTTACTTCTGCGACGATATCGTCGCAACGCGAAGAGATAGAGAAGCGAAACTTTGCATACATCTTCCTGAATACCTAGCCAAGGTTGTGTCCAAATTTGGTGTCGATCCCATTTGAAATGACGTCACAGTGACGTCATAAGTGAAATTATAGATTTGCGACTCTCACGTTCCTCACGATACATCACATATATGGGGCCGAATATAAAGGGCCGCTTATTGGTCAGAAACTAGATGGAAGTGTAGTAAGATGTTTTAGGATGACAGCAGGTGCTGTCTAGTTCATTTACAGTCGAGTTTCATGCTCAGCGTCATCAGAAACGGTCCATATCGGAAAACGACAAAACTTTATGACGTCACTGTGACGTCATCCTAGGTGCTACAACCACCAAACTTTCCTCAAACATTGCCTAGGTATTCATTTGAAGCTATGCCAAGTTTCACGTTCGTAGCTCATCAGGTTTCGGAGATATTTCACAAAACGTAAAGGGGGGGCAACTTTATGCCCCCCCCCAGCGGCTCGTGGGTTAAACATACCAGGTAGATGATATGTAATGCAATGAGCTGTAAGGAATCAGGAATCGTTGTCTAAGCCAGTAGCGGCGGAACACCTCTTTTGGTCCCATTCTTTCCATGCAGCGCCCATAGGGCTAATGTTAAAATGCCCAAATCAAAGGGGGGCACGGTGCCCCGGTGCCCTCCTCGTTCCGCCGCCGATGGTCTAAGCCCTCAATCAGTGCAGCAAAGACACATTAAAGGTTATTCTTGATTTCTATAAGGAAGATAAGATGAAGATAAATCGTGGCCGTGGATGGTAAAAGATACGCTCGTTTCTAAGATGATCACATATAAAGCTCTCATTGCCGGAATCCTTGCATCGAATACCGCACACTTTTTCTGTTCACTAACTCGTACATTCGTCACTTCTGCGTCCATTCTTAACCACCACTATGAATAATGAATACTGATTTCGACTTCTACCTACCATACACAGGTGATAAAATGACAAGAATACGAGCTAAAAACGCCAACTATCGCAACGTACCGCTGTTCCTGGAGCTTGGCGAACTCCTTTCGGGCCTGGTAGCCGCGGATGACGCCCTGCATCTGGGAGAAGATCTTGTTGAGTACGTCATCACGCAGCTCCTCCATGTCTCCCAGCACGCCGGCGCGGAAGAACACCTGGCGCGCCACGGGTCAGGTCAGATCAGGTCGGGTAAGGTTAGGTTAGGTCACATCAGGATGAGCCGAGAGTTGTACTTTACTGTGAGATGTGAATTTATCGAAACCTGTAAGAAGATAAACGTTTTGGTGGTAAAATTACGGGCTATCATAAAAACGCTATTATTGAGATCCACTCCTTGATCAATATCACAAAATATACTGGCAAAGTGCACATGTTTAGAATGGCTCCAACAGGCCATAATGAGTAAACGTTTCATTTATTGCGCAATAGATAATGGATAATGTTTAAACTGAAAGCAGAATAGCTTCAATACAAATGTCGGAAGCAGGAAAACGCACACAATGGTGTCATGCAAAAGATGGGATTTCACACGGAACCCCCAACTTTTGTTTATCTTCTCCCCATCCACAAGTACTCTACCGGAGTCAGGTACTTTGACCATCACTACAGGCAGTACCTTAGTCAGACCCAAACGGAATTTGTCCGCGTCCAGACTGATCTTCTTCAGGCAGACATCGCATGCGTCGCGGTCATCCTTTTTGGCGTTCATTTCCTTGGGCGCCAGAATGACGTAGCTTTGGGGAAGAGTGGCGACCAATCAGAGAGGGGAGTCTTCTGAAGTCACCAAAGGGAGGGTGGAAGGGGCTTCCCAAAGAGAGAAGTGACACACATGAACACTCGAACACGCTTTTGGTATGAGGTGGGAGAGAGAAGGGAGTAGAGATCAAATGTGAAAATGGGAGACGGTATCATTCGTATCTCTGCGTCGGTGTTTCAGGGCCCTGAAAATCGTTGATGAAGGGGAGTATCCAAGCGGGATATCTCATGGGTCAAGATCACGGCACGCAGGTCACACGGGTCAAGAGAGTCCAGGTCAGGCGATAACCTGTAAAACAGAAGGGGAGAGAAACGGTGATGGGTTCCGTATACGGCATCCGGGCTTATATGCAGAAAAGGTGGTCAGATAGGATAGGGGCGTAGCAACCATTTTTCGGGACGCGATTCGGGAAGTAGATGTCTTGTAGAGCTGACCCTTTGAGAAATGAGGTAGAAGTATGTTGCACTCGTGTTGAAAGCAAGCACAGCACAGCAAACCACATGCAAAGTTGAAATAGGCAAATGACGCCGTATTTCTCCCGTCTTTTTCAGTAGGAGAGGCAAGAGAAGAGGGAAGCGGGAAAAATGCCAAAAGATATTTGGGAGATAAGAACAAGTGGAAGGAAAGAATTGAGCTGAAATAAATGGAACCGAAAGGGAACGAAATGAGGCTTAGAAATGATAGGAATGCAGACAAAGCAGCGCATTTGTCGCAAGGACATGTGGAGGAACAATAAAAGTATCCATAGTTGCAGAGGGTGACTGAGAAAAAGGAGAGGGCATAGAAGGTCACCTTGGTCAGACCCAGACGGTACTTGTCCGCATCCAGCTGAATCTTCTCCATGCACTTGGCGCAGGCGTCCTTGCCCTCTTTGCACGCACGCATTTCTTTCGGCGCCAAAATCTCGTATCTAGCGAGTGACAATCCAGACAGTTGGTTAGCGTGAGGTTATGTCTGGCATTTGGCTATCCTGTGAGTTATGCTAACGCACAAGCTAGTTATGAAACGTGAACATGACGCTTGAATGCTAGTGCTCTACATTGGTTTATTTTGAAGGGCACATGATTAGTTCTCGTAAAGCCAACTCGAAAACCACCGAATAAAGTTTCGAAACGCTGCAAGTGTGTGCATAAATTCAGCGTAATACATGAAAACAAAAGTGTTAGAAAAACTTGTTTTAATGGCTTGTAATTGAGCTGATGCTGGTAGCTTATGCTGATCATGTGCCTTTTCAAAATAAACGCACACCTAAAGACGAACACAATAGACGTTGACAGCTGTTTAACGACGCCACATTACACCACGATCATATTAGCTATTCATAAAAAAATGTTATGACTACCGACAGTAGCTAAGTATGCATGCATATTGAACGTACTATCAATTAGTTTCTAACAGCGTCTATGACACTACACTGCTGCTAAAATATTTGTTAAAGTCAGATCCGCATCATCATTCCTGACAACGCAGTGAAATGGTTCCTGAAAACGCTACGACGAAAGGAGGTTGGCTAGGGATTGGTGGAAAATAAATGGACGTTTTACCAAGAACATTCATTATATAGCAGTTGCGCGAGACACACAGCACACGATACATTACGCACAGCACATAGCGCACTACGTAATGACAGAAGTGATATAACATTACTTGTGAATAGGTTCATGTCACAGAACATATGTATAGACAGACAATAGAGGAACATTAAAAATAATGTCTGCATTTCATCAGATACTCGGTAGAGCTGAACTAAATCAACCGAAGCCACATTTGACAAATATTTCTCGGATTCGCTGATACTCGCTGCTTATTTGCTGAAATTATACACTAGCTGAAATTTGGAGCTCAATTAAATTAATTTATTGTCTCATTTTACAACGGTGTCTTGCGTATCATCTAGGGTTAGCAGTGAGTCATGACATCGCTTTCGTAACAAGTAGACAAGCAACACCTGCTAAACTGATAAACGAGAGCAGCTGGGCTGAATCAAAGCGACAACAAAGCGCACGCTGAGGCTGCAATCGTAAACAAGCATTGTTTCCTTTGTGATTAAGCCGTTCGTTTAGCCCAATAAACTTCTATCAATAGATGCGAATGGTTGCTTGTCGAAAATGCTGTAAGCCATTCGTTGTTTACCATCACTGAAAGCTAAAAAAAATGAAAACCCAGTTTCACCTTGTTGCTAGAAAGCGCTCCTACACCATAGATTAGGCGATCTATCACGCTCATTATCATCAAACTATAAAACTACGTTCTTGAAATTCCTGCTTGTGAACGTACAACCACTTGGCTTTGTACTTGTCCCCGAATCCCTCTCATCAAAAAAGGAAGAAAGACCGAAAGAATAAGACGTCCCACTATCCCCTTCGGATACAAGAAAGACTGAAAGAAAAACACGTCCTATGGCTCTTACCGGTGGCGGAAGTCGTGGTACATCATTCGGTTGGGGAAGCCCTTGCGGCAGATACGGATGCCCTCGAGTACGCCGTTGCAGGTCAGCTGGTGCATCACCAGGTGGGCGTCGATGACACCTGGCGCGCGCGAGCAGGTCACAGGTCAGAGGTCAAGTGTCACAGGTCAGCGGAGAGGTCAGTGTGGAGGTCAGCACGCTGAGGTCAGCGGAAGGATTAGAGGTCTTGGTGAGGTCAGGGGTGTCAGGGCACAGGACAGAGGTCACGGGTAATCGCGGAGGTCAGAGTAGGATTCAGAGGTCATGGATGAGAGGTGACCTCAGCTTTCATCCGCGATAACGCTATCGTATAAACTAAATGTACCTAATTTAATGCGAAGACAAATTACGTTTGAAGAAAATATATGCCTAGATTACTTTATATGGATAATTAAGTCATTATATTACGTTAATTGGGCACGGGCACCACATATTGCGATTTACAGAAGTTTTGATTTTTTACGCCTTCTGCTAGCAAGCAATTAAAACATGAAACTTCTTTTGCTCGTATCATGTAGCAATAGGCAATGCAATGAAACGTTTCTAGAGGCGGGAAGCGGTTATTTGGGCATCGGCTAGGCTGCAGCTGTGAACATTCAGAAGCAGTTCGGAAGCTGAAGCGAGGCAAGACATCTGCAACAGGAATTTACATTTTGTCCTGCATATGTATTATGTCCTGATTTTTGGACCTCAGCGAAAGTCTCACGGAAGGAAAGTGATTGAGAAGAAGTAACAAGCTAGTACAGTTATGTTGCTAAAAAATGTTTGCTCGTGTGATGATTCGAATAAGCCAGACTAAGACGTTGACAATGTAACTAATGATTATGGAGTTAAAATGTGTTGTAGTAAGCACGTACAAGTACCTAACAGAGAACTCCAGAAATATTATGGCCAAAACACTAATAAGACATCAGCCTGATGACCAACACCAATGACTTATCAACAGCTCATTGCTAGATGACTACCAGAAAAACATATGCAGTTACTCATGCATGCACGTATTTTCAAAATAATCTATTCATATCCGATTCCGCATGCATTCGGAGCTTCTACGCGTTTCACATGCGGTTCTTACCAGGGGACTTGGTCTCATTCGGAATAATGCAGCGAATAAAGTGCGGCGTGGTCGCCATGAGCGTTCGCATCAGGTTATTCAGCTGTTCCTGAGGTGCGAGGTCAGAGGTCAGCTGAGCTCTGACCTCGCCGGGGGCAGCCCGAGGGCAGGCAGGGGTCACGACAGACGGGCGGGGCGCGGGGCCGCAGGGCAGGGGTGGCACTTCAATCCGAGGTCGGGTCACAATAGGGAGAGCACAAGTCAATCTGGGGTGGGTCACAGGTCAATCCAGGGCGGGGCCACATCAATAAAGAGGGGTCATACCAATGAGGTGAGGGTCACAGGTTCAATCAAGTCGGGTCACATCAATCGGAAGGTTCGCAGGTCAATCCGGCTCGGGTCACATCAAATTCGGAGGCGGGTCACACCAATGGGGCTCGGGTCTGATAAACTATGCGGGCTTACATCGAGGTAGCGGTCAAGCAAGTGTTGATGTAGGAAAATTTGATGGGTTTTATGGTTAGGCAGTTGATGGCTGATTTGTCTGATTTTCGATGTGTTGTTGTCGCTGTGTAGGAGGGTATATGTGTGTGCATGGGGATACCACAGCACAGCAGGCTAAAAATTCAGGAGGGCTCATTTACAGCGTATGCAAAGAGCAATAAGCTGACATGAAATGGTTGCTGAACTGAAAATGAGTTTTTAATGGAAACTGCTGCGGATAACTTCAAAAGCGAGTTTGGTTCTTTCTTTCTTTTAATCTCAGCCAACTTGGCTTACTCTGAGTTCACCGAGTCATTTTGAGAATGCTGTCGTATTTGACAAAATCGAAAGCAAAGCACGAACACCCACTTGCGAGAGGTGTCTATAAGCGAAATTCGAAAGCAAGCCACATGATTGTGAAAACATTTCATGAAGCTCAATTTTGCGGAATTTAAGCGCTGAAGCTTTGTAGCATCGCATTTCACAATAGCTGCAAAAAAAGTGACAAAAGCGATCCAAAAAATGACGCCTTGTCATTAACGCCAGCACTCAGCAGCACCTAAGCGACTTTGTGGTAAAATCCAATCGCGCTTACCAGCTGCCTTCATTTCATTGGGAATAATGCAACGAATAAAGTGAGGGCACGTAGCCTCCAGCGTTCTCATCAGCCCGTTCAGCTGTTCCTACAACACATTCAGCCCGAGGTGAGATCGGGTCGTAGGGCTTCTTGCTCTGATCCCGAGCAAGAAGACTGGGGAGGGTCAAGTCACGATTTTGGTGGAGGGAGGGTTTTTATCACAGCTTTGTGCTGCTGGAGGGAGGGACTACTTGGGTCAAAGCTTTTAACTGGTAGAGGGGCTTCTCTGGGTCACACTTTTGCGCTCGGGTTCAGAAAGGGTTCTCTTGGGGACACAGCTTTAGCCTTGCTCTGGCAGAAGGGTTGTGAGCTCACGGGTGCGTCAAAGAGCGCTTACCGGGGGCCTTCATCTCGTTAGGAATGATACAGCGGATGAAATGGGGACATGTGGCGTGCAGAGTCTTCATGAGACCATTCAGTTGCTCCTAAAATATGAACGTGCGCGGTGAGGTCGGGCGACGTATCGGGGCACAAAGTCCGGGGGTCGTACACATGCCATCGGTTCGGAATCTCCAGACATGCCTCGGTTCATGGTGCAGTAGGCCAGTGGGAAGAGTCGGTATTGATCCAAGGGGGATCATACATTCTCATTTAGCTCAAACTTTTTAAAGTGAGTCTTGATGACGCGCCAGTGCATAGCTATTTCGGGCAATTTTTTAGGCATTTTTAGAAAAGTCGCTATAGCCTGCCTCGGTGCATTGTGTATTACATTGATTTGATAGAACAGCCAATCTGCCTTCAAGGTAGAGCAGAACATCTAATCGGTTAAGTGAAAAACACCAGGCAGGCTTTTGTTATCACATCAACAACGCTTCCCATCAGCTGGTACTGCGATCTAAAACAAAATAAACCGAGCAATAGTGCGACATTCATTTCAACTGTACAGGGGGATAGGGCCGGGCACGGTCACATCATGGTCTGGGTCATATCAGGGGAAGGTCATGAACGGATAGGGGGCTATCCAGTGTACTGGAGCCGATGGATCTCGATCTGCGATCCGCTGCGATCCACGTGCGATCCTGTAATCGATCCTTACACCAAGTCGTGCTTTTGGGTCGGGTTGGGTCCGGTGGGTAGGTCGGTTCGATTCGGGTGTCGGGTTGTCGGGCCAGGAACACATTCTTTCACATCACAGTCGTCCTCATGATGCACATTCGTGATGCAGATTCACAGAGGGTGCTGTCTCCTCCAGGAAACCTTACAAACACACAAGGGAGGGTCACAGGATATCTCGGTTTCCGTGCTTGCGTTTCAGGGCATATCTTTCAGGAGGGTGATCGTGCAACTATCGAGATCCTGATCTCGTCTGACATGTATCAAAGATCACGTTCACGTGCACGTATCAAGATCGCGACGCTGGCTTCCGGTGCACGTGCTATCATTCTGGAAACCTGGGGTATGGTAGGGGTAGGGTGAGGGTCGGTCTGGAGAGGGTACTCCACGATGCTCCGATGCTCTCCGACATTTCCTGCATTCCAGGGGGAGGGAGGGGGGGGGGGGAGACGTACCGGCCGCCTTCATTTCATTGGGGATAATACAACGAATGAAGTGAGGGGAAGTCGCGTGTAGAGTCTTCATCAGACCGTTCAGCTGCTCCTATTGGTGGAGACGGGAGTGACGTCAGTGAGGCCGGCCAATCAGGGAACGGAAAAGGATGCATCGGATTTTGATGAGAACTATTTAGCATCTTAATGTTTACGTCAAAACCTACTTTTCCCGAAAAATAATATTTATTTTGAAAGTAATAAGAAATATATCTGTAGGTTTATGGTTTCGGAAAACCAGTTTCCGACTGAACCATTTAGATGCACCTATAAAACGTTAAATTTATAGCAATACCTATTTAGAGAAAAATGAGATATAACTGCACATAAAATTTAAGCGACGAATATGACGTTACTCAATCTAATATTTAAAGTTTCAGCAAGATGACAAATACGCAAAATCTTTGTAAAAATATTATCATGAATTAAAGGAAGCTGGTCTGATGAAAATCGATTTACTAGGTATAGGTGTTAGCTAGATATTTCGGGATAGGATGATGAGTATAAGGATGCCAGGCCGTACCCTGTAACTGGCAGAGACAGTAGCGAAGCCACCGCCCTTCTTTCCGCGGCCACCTATCAGAGAGAGCGTGAGCACAGTCAGCAGTCAGCGTGAGCAGCATCAGCAGGTGGGTGAACAGGCGGCCGGGTCGGAGACACCGGCCACCTGTTCAGGGCCGACCGCTGACGGTAAACACACAACAGCGAGGGATGACCTGACCTGAACGCTGACCTGATGCAGGCTTCAGGATAAGGATAGGACGGGGCAGGTCAAAGTTTTGAATGAGATGGAGTGATGCCGGTGGAAAATGCGGACAGGATTTGATAGATGTTCGAATGCTTGATAACGTTAGAGGCATAAACTGGGGAAAGCTGACTCGGCTCAGCATCCGACAGGTCAGGTCAGGTCAGATCAGGTCACCGCTCGACAATCCTATCATACCCTGCTGTGATGACCGTGCATGCCATTACGCTGGACAGAAGCCATAAGTCTGCATAAATACGACGTTCTTCTGATAACCGTAAAAAGTGTCACCGAGCTGTTAGACGCCGGCGACTGCACGGTCTCACAGCAGGGTAGCACCGCCGCCACCGTCGTCACTTATAAACACCAAACACCCAGTGGTAACGACGGTGGCGGCGGCGGCGGCGGCGGCGGTGGCGGCGCACCGGCGACAAAGTTACCTTGTACAGACCGGACACGGTCTGGAAGGCCGAACCCTTGGCGCGCTTGCCTCCTGCAGTCGGGAACACTTAGAGGTCAGAGGGTGCCGGCCAAAAATATTAATAACTAAATGCTTGTAAATCGTTACTCGACACTTCAAAAACTGGTCAGCCGTGATGCTAGAAATACTCCATCGTTACTCTAAATCACTTAAACTTGAAACTTGAAAATGCCGTCACTAGATGCTACTTGAACAAAGGACCAAAAAACTCTTGAGCAAGGGTTGCAGTAAATGGTAGGTAGGTAGTTCTTTCATTGTCATGGCTTTGCCTATGCATAACTCGTTGGCATTAATGGAAACCAATTTCATAGTCCAAGTAGAAACATGACTCGTCGGTTCATGATATTTGTGTCTCTGATATAGACGGACGGTTGCACGGATGGAAACGTCATGGGAAAAGCGCGATACAGCTGTAAAACGGTCCTTTACCCGCACCTTTGATGCCAAGAGATGCAACTAAGGGCAATATACGATGCTTTGAATCGATGTCCGTCAAGACAGCCCATATTCAGCCCAGATTCAGCCCGGATTCAGCCCAGATTCGGGACACCTCCGATCGAGCTGAAACTCGCACACAAAGTAGGCCATGACATGCCCAATTCACAGTCCAAGTCATTCGGTGGCACTCCCAGCCGTTTGACCTACAGAGGTCAGCAAATGTCACGTGGCCCAAATTTGCACAGCAGATTGTGGCCCACCCAGTAGAGCTAGAGCGCTAAAAATGGCACCAATCGACTCGCCAGCATCTAATCTTACTTTCCCAACACTCATTTGACCTCTCAAGGTCATGCGATGACCTAAGGTCATTTGTGGGCTATGTCGAAAATACACTTGCACAGCAGTTTTCGAGTAGATGGATTGACCGAATTCCAAATCAAAGCACATCATCGGGTAGCCCATAGGCCGTAGTAACTTTCCTTAAAAAGCGCTTTTCGATATGTGACCCCGTTTGACCTTGGCAGGTCAAAATGTGCAAATAAACGACACTCAATACGTCGCAGCCCGGATTCAGCCCAGATTCGGGACACCTCCGATCAAGCTGAAACTCGCACACAATGTAGGCCATGACATGCCCAATTCACAGTCCAAGTCATTCGGTGGCACTCCCAGCCGTTTGACCTACAGAGGTCAGCAAAGGTCACGTGGCCCAAATTTGCACAGCAGATTGTGGCCCACCCAGTAGAGCTAGAGCGCTAAAAATGGCACCAATCGACTCGCCAGCATCTAATCTTACTTTCCCAACACTCATTTGACCTCTCAAGGTCATCCGATGACCTAAGGTCATTTGTGGGCTATGTCGAAAATACACTTGCACAGCAGTTTTCGAGTAGATGGATTGACCGAATTCCAAATCAAAGCACATCATCGGGTAGCCCATAGGCCGTAGTAACTTTCCTTAAAAACCGCTTTTCGATATGTGACCCCGTTTGACCTTGGCAGGTCAAAATGTGCAAATAAACGACACTCAATACGTCGCAGCCCGGATTCAGCCCAGATTCGGGACACCTCCGATCAAGCTGAAACTCGCACACAATGTAGGCCATGACATGCCCAATTCACAGTCCAAGTCATTCGGTGGCACTCCCAGCCGTTTGACCTACAGAGGTCAGCAAAGGTCACGTGGCCCAAATTTGCACAGCAGATTGTGGCCCACCCAGTAGAGCTAGAGCGCTAAAAATGGCACCAATCGACTCGCCAGCATCTAATCTTACTTTCCCAACACTCATTTGACCTCTCAAGGTCATGCGATGACCTAAGGTCATTTGTGGGCTATGTCGAAAATACACTTGCACAGCAGTTTTCGAGTAGATGGATTGACCGAATTCCAAATCAAAGCACATCATCGGGTAGCCCATAGGCCGTAGTAACTTTCCTTAAAAACCGCTTTTCGATATGTGACCCCGTTTGACCTTGGCAGGTCAAAATGTGCAAATAAACGACACTCAATACGTCGCAGCCCGGATTCAGCCCAGATTCGGGACACCTCCGATCAAGCTGAAACTCGCACACAATGTAGGCCATGACATGCCCAATTCACAGTCCAAGTCATTCGGTGGCACTCCCAGCCGTTTGACCTACAGAGGTCAGCAAAGGTCACGTGGCCCAAATTTGCACAGCAGATTGTGGCCCACCCAGTAGAGCTAGAGCGCTAAAAATGGCACCAATCGACTCGCCAGCATCTAATCTTACTTTCCCAACACTCATTTGACCTCTCAAGGTCATCCGATGACCTAAGGTCATTTGTGGGCTATGTCGAAAATACACTTGCACAGCAGTTTTCGAGTAGATGGATTGACCGAATTCCAAATCAAAGCACATCATCGGGTAGCCCATAGGCCGTAGTAACTTTCCGTAAAACCGCTTTTCAATATGTGATCCCGTTTGACCTTGGCAGGTCAAAATGTGCAAATAAACGACACTCAATACGTCGCAGCCCGGATTCAGCCCAGATTCGGGACACCTCCGATCAAGCTGAAACTCGCACACAATGTAGGCCATGACATGCCCAATTCACAGTCTAAGTCATTCGGTGGCACTCCCAGCCGTTTGACCTACAGAGGTCAGCAAAGGTCACGTGGCCACAATTTGCACAGCAGATTGTGGCCCACCCAGTAGAGCTAGAGCGCTAAAAATGGCACCAATCGACTCGCCAGCATCTAATCTTACTTTCCCAACACTCATTTGACCTCTCAAGGTCATGCGATGGCCTAAGGTCATTTGTGGGCTATGTCGAAAATACACTTGCACAGCAGTTTTCGAGTAGATGGATTGACCGAATTCCAAATCAAAGCACATCATCGGGTAGCCCATAGGCCGTAGTAACTTTCCTTAAAAACCGCTTTTCGATATGTGACCCCGTTTGACCTTGGCAGGTCAAAATGTGCAAATAAACGACACTCAATACGTCGCAGCCCGGATTCAGCCCAGATTCGGGACACCTCCGATCAAGCTGAAACTCGCACACAATGTAGGCCATGACATGCCCAATTCACAGTCCAAGTCATTCGGTGGCACTCCCAGCCGTTTGACCTACAGAGGTCAGCAAAGGTCACGTGGCCCAAATTTGCACAGCAGATTGTGGCCCACCCAGTAGAGCTAGAGCGCTAAAAATGGCACCAATCGACTCGCCAGCATCTAATCTTACTTTCCCAACACTCATTTGACCTCTCAAGGTCATCCGATGACCTAAGGTCATTTGTGGGCTATGTCGAAAATACACTTGCACAGCAGTTTTCGAGTAGATGGATTGACCGAATTCCAAATCAAAGCACATCATCGGGTAGCCCATAGGCCGTAGTAACTTTCCGTAAAACCGCTTTTCAATATGTGATCCCGTTTGACCTTGGCAGGTCAAAATGTGCAAATAATTGACACTCAATACGTCGCAGCCCGGATTCAGCCCAGATTCGGGACACCTCCGATCAAGCTGAAACTCGCACACAATGTAGGCCATGACATGCCCAATTCACAGTCTAAGTCATTCGGTGGCACTCCCAGCCGTTTGACCTACAGAGGTCAGCAAAGGTCACGTGGCCACAATTTGCACAGCAGATTGTGGCCCACCCAGTGGAGCTAGAGCGCTAAAAATGGCACCAATCGACTCGCCAGCATCTAATCTTACTTTCCCAACACTCATTTGACCTCTCAAGGTCATGCGATGGCCTAAGGTCATTTGTGGGCTATGTCGAAAATACACTTGCACAGCAGTTTTCGAGTAGATGGATTGACCGAATTCCAAATCAAAGCACATCATCGGGTAGCCCATAGGCCGTAGTAACTTTCCTTAAAAACCGCTTTTCGATATGTGACCCCGTTTGACCTTGGCAGGTCAAAATGTGCAAATAAACGACACTCAATACGTCGCAGCCCGGATTCAGCCCAGATTCGGGACACCTCCGATCAAGCTGAAACTCCCACACAATGTAGGCCATGACATGCCCAATTTACAGTCCAAGTCATTCGGTGGCACTCCCAGCCGTTTGACCTACAGAGGTCAGCAAAGGTCACGTGGCCCAAATTTGCACAGCAGATTGTGGCCCACCCAGTAGAGCTAGAGCGCTAAAAATGGCACCAATCGACTCGCCAGCATCTAATCTTACTTTCCCAAAACTCATTTGACCTCTCAAGGTCATGCGATGACCTAAGGTCATTTGTGGGCTATGTCGAAAATACACTTGCACAGCAGTTTTCGAGTAGATGGATTGACCGAATTCCAAATCAAAGCACATCATCGGGTAGCCCATAGGCCTTAGTAACTTTCCTTAAAAACTGCTTTTCGATATGTGACCCCGTTTGACCTTGGCAGGTCAAAATGTGCAAATAAACGACACTCAATACGTCGCAGCCCGGATTCAGCCCAGATTCGGGACACCTCCGATCAAGCTGAAACTTGCACACAATGTAGGCCATGACATGCCCAATTCACAGTCCAAGTCATTCGGTGGCACTCCCAGCCGTTTGACCTACAGAGGTCAGCAAAGGTCACGTGGCCCAAATTTGCACAGCAGATTGTGGCCCACCCAGTAGAGCTAGAGCGCTAAAAATGGCACCAATCGACTCGCCAGCATCTAATCTTACTTTCCCAACACTCATTTGACCTTTCAAGGTCATGCGATGGCCTAAGGTCATTTGTAGGCTATGTCGAAAATACACTTGCACAGCAGTTTTCGAGTAGATGGATTGACCGAATTCCAAATCAAAGCACATCATCGGGTAGATAGGCCGTAGTAACTTTCCTTAAAAACCGCTTTTCGATATGTGACCCCGTTTGACCTCGGCAGGTCAAAATGTGCAAATAAACGACACTCAATACGTCGCAGCCCGGATTCAGCCCAGATTCGGGACACCTCCGATCAAGCTGAAACTCGCACACAATGTAGGCCATGACATGCTAAATTCACAGTTCAAGTCATTCGGTGGCACTCCCAGCCGTTTGACCTACAGAGGTCAGCAAAGGTCACGTGGCCCAAATTTGCACAGCAGATTGTGGCCCACCCAGTAGAGCTAGAGCG